GGCCCATTTTATAGTATGGCAATCAACTCGGCTTTCACTGCAACGGCTCCAGCTGAGACAATCAACATGAAACGGCCCATTTTTGGTGCATTATCAGTATTAGAGAGAGTCCTGTATTAGAATGAGCAAAAAAGGGGAATTGACGTTAGTATTTCAGATATAAAATGCTAAATATCAAACCAGGACTGCTAGCAGAAGATGCATTTTTATAAAGCAAAAATACATAAAGCTGGTAAATCACGCAATTTCATATTTCTCAGTTTGGCTTATTATCCCCAGGCGAATGTTGATATAAATGAAAGAGAATTTAATCCTTGCAGCATGCATCACAGTACCCTCCTATTTAGCAAGCTCTAGATTATAGACGATGGAGTGCGAGCCTCCACAGCTTGACAGTGCCACGCGAGCTCCACGTCTCGGTCTCGAGCTCCTCGAGTGACGTCAGTCCAGCACTGCACCCTCGTTCCCGCTCTGTCTCCTCCACTGGCGGTGAAATTGTTAATGTGATTGTTCCTCTCCATCCTGCTGCTTATATATACGAGATAAAATTCTGACTGGATGCTTTGGAAGCCTGGTTGTATTTTATTTTATTTATTATATAGCAAGACAAAATGATACTTTTTTTGGAAGAGTCGCAAATGGAGAATACGTTGTATAAAGCTGACACACCCTAAACCCAGGTATTAAGTGAGGGAGGGGAGACGCTTATTGTCCCAGAACTCGGTGCTGTAGTTTTAGTTTTCAATGGATGGAAAGTTTGCCTTATAATTCCCCAGGGGTGGGACCCTTTGTATCAAAATAAATACAATGTTAAAAATACTTCTGGTGGTTGCTTACGATGAAATACAGCTGATCTACAGTCCAAGAAAGTGCTACCTAAAGATAAATGATAGTAACAGTATTAGTATAACATAATGGCCTGCTATGAAATTGAACGAATGCAACTGAATCGATAAAAAAGTAAAGAGAAAATGTGACAACGTACTTTATTCTTCAAAGTGGCTCAGAAAAAACAAATGGGCAAATGGTCTTAGATATTGATTTTTTTTCTGTTTTTAAAACTTGAACACAATTTGTGGCGAAATCTGACTTCATTTATTGGAGTTATGTAGCAAGAAAGATTTTCAGTGTCCTTATGTGTTAACAGAGATCATCCATTTATGGATTTATATACCTTCATTAATAGTTTCAGGAGCACAATATGATACCTACTGTGATATGTGAACACAGGAAGGTGCCGAGATTTATGAAATAGCAAGTGGAAGAGGGGAACAAATCACAGATGAGGAATTATCTGCAAGCCAAAATATATATTTGCTGCAAATCAGCAGTGGAAGTATAGTAATGATGCTGACATTTATAGTGTTTAAAAAATTTTTACAGAGAAGAGACGCGTTATGTTTCTGTAATTTGGACGTCTATTAATAACACAGTCCTCTAGAGGTAATACTTCAATATTTATAGCCAAAAGCACAACTGACTTCCTGATTTCCTGTTCATTAACAAAAGGCTATTCAGAATGTCCTTTTTATTTAAATCTTATTGAAATTGAGTTTGGAATGAATTGCTGATAACATTTTATTCAATTTAAGTTTATGCTAGACTGGATTTATTACATCACGTTAAACATGTGTGTGTGTGTGTGTGTGTGTATTATATATACACACAAACCACTCCATTCATCTTCCAATCGCTTATCCCGGTCATGGACATGGAGAGACCTGGAGACTATCCCAGACACGCAGGGCTGTGGTCCACCATGGATGAGATGCCAGTCCTTTACAGAAGGCAATTTAGCGATGCCAGTTAGCATCACTATGTTTGGAAGAAGCCTGCGTGACTGGGAGAGAACATACAAACTCCAGACACACACAGAGCAGGCCAGGAGGCGTGAGGTCACAGTGCTACCCAGTGAGCCACTGTATATATCACATAGCTTTTTATTTAAAAAACAAACTTGTGTATAAAAACTCGTGTAACACACCAAGCCCCATCTGTTCCTGGGAGACCTCTGCTAGCATACAGTACGCCACTCTATGTTCACTGAATGCTCTCAGTGTTGCACTTCCTGCTGATTAGAATAGCTCTCTTATTAGGTTCTTGCTCTGTTTGGAAAATGTCGTATAGGTCTTGATCCAATACTGCTCACATTTGGCATTCGTTGGAAGCTCAGCTTAGTTACACTTATGCGGAGTCAACTCCTTGGCGGCCATTTGTATGTGGTGTGTTATTTGTTTAACTTATACGTCTCTTTGGATAAAAGTGTCTGCTAAAGCGACAAAGTATAGCATTCATACACGCTGACATTGATGAACTCGTTGGCTTATATGGGCCTATTCCATTCTCAGGAGCATGACAGGCAGTACATGCACATCGGTACCATGGTGGAGTTCGCCTTCGCCCTGATGGGAAAGCTCGATGTCATCAACAGACATTCCTTCAATGACTTCAAGCTCCGAGTCGGTGAGTACATCTCACATACAACCGGTTTCTCTCTAAAACAAAACTCAACTGAAATTCTCTTCTTAAAAATCTTTCAGTTTTAAGGGGATTTGTTTAAGGTTTTTTTCAACAAATATTTTCTTAATACGACTGTAAATTCAACACTATAATGTAAGTCTGTGCATGCATTTATTGCTGGATAAAATTCACGCTCAGCTCTTCTCTAAACCATGTTTACACTGTCCTACTTAAAAAGTAAAATGTGTCCATATGATAAACATTCCATGGTACGGCGGGAGCTCTGAGACGGACGCTTTTCAGGGAAGTCTGAGTGTAGCGGGCACTGAAATGGGCAGCCTTCTGGTCAAAAGTTGGGGTCCTTAATGGCCCTGCCACCTAGGCTGCTAGATAGGGGACTTTGGTCCTACTCAGAAACATGCTGTGAACAGCTGTGCCGCTTCTGCCCTTAGGCATCAATCACGGCCCCGTGATCGCTGGGGTGATCGGAGCTCAGAAGCCACAATACGACATCTGGGGAAACACAGTGAATGTCGCCAGCCGAATGGACAGCACTGGGGTGCTGGGAAAAATACAGGTAGCCATTGTTTAGCTACTGATAAAAATTGCGCTTTGTGATTTAAATTTTTTTTGTATTATTATTATTATTATTGTTGTGATTTCTTACGTTTTTCCTTTCTGTGTTTTAATATTAAAAGTTTCTGAAAAGTTTGACATAAGTATAGGCAGTTCTTTTTTGTATTGGATATTAAGATCTGTTGTTTGTATTTCAGTGCTAATTTTACTCATGGTAGTCAATTCTAGTAGCTTTGGTGTTAATACTCTGAGCCTCTATGCTAGTGTTTCCCAGCCCAGTCCTAAGGGACTCCCAGACAGTCCACCTTTTTGCTCCTTCTCAGCTCCCTGCCAGACAGTCCACCTTTTTGCTCCCTCTCAGCACCCTGCCAGACAGTCCACCTTTTTGCTCCCTTCCAGCTCCTTATTTCCTACTGTTCCATGCAATCGCAGGGCTGTAGCAGCCTCATTAAAGCCCTGCTTCAGCAAAAGCTCATTTCTCTGAGCAGTAGTGCAGGAGGTTCGTAGTAGGGCTGAGTGCTTTTTCCCCATCTTCTCCCCGCCCGAAGGTCACAGAGGAGACGAGTCGAGTCTTGCTGACCCTGGGATACATCTGCTCGTGCAGAGGGATTATCAACGTGAAGGGCAAGGGAGAGCTGAAGACCTACTTCATCCACACAGAGATGACAAGGTCCCTATCACAGGGGAATGTCATGCCATAAACACGGCGATGGAAACCGGCCAGAATGTGAGGCGCCCGCGATCACTGACATCTGTAAATATCTCCGGTTCATCCTTAGATGCACGAAACCTTGGATGTATTTACATATGGTACCAGTCTTACAACATCTCATCAGCCGAGGCTACGTGTTGGGTACAGTGGGTAGAGGAGACTGACATTTTGTAAGAAAATGAATGAAAGAAAAAAAACAAAAGTGTTTTGATGTTTTAATGTCCTTGTTTTGTATAATATGTTCATTAAAGGTTTGTATGCAATTCACCTTGTTATCTCATCTCTCAGGTTTAATTTGACACAGTAAATTTAATAATATAGAGCTGTAGTTACTGGGATAGGAGATTTGTAAATATGCTCACATGCCAGCCGGTGGTAGGGATTGGGAAAGAAGCCCACAATTGCCATCTAAAAATGAGTGGATCCAGTAAACGTATATTTAGTTACATACATTTACTGTATTAAGCAAAAAAGGTACCTGGAGAAGTGCGGGGGGGCTGGGGGAGGGCAGGGGGCGTTCTGGAAAGAGAGGAGCAGGCAGCAGGGGGGGCGGTGCCCCTCCTCCAGCTGGCACTTATCGTTCCTGCAGTGTCACGTGACTCGCCGCGTGAAAAATAAAGCGGATTAGCTTGGGATGCGGCTCACTGGAGCATGAGGCTGCTCCCTACGCCCTGGCAGGCGAGGCTGGAGCTGTGGACATCGACGTCAAACAGACCCGAGGCTGGGAGGGAAGGTGGCGCTTTGGTGGTCTGAATGAGCGATGAATGGAGCAAGAACAGCACACTCATCTCAAGTGTTTAAATGCCCCCCCTCAAAAATAAATGAATCTTGGCTGTACATGAAGATATTCTTCTACTCGTTTGCCATTGCCAGTTTGGCTTCTCTCACATTGTGGTAGCTGCTCACACAAATAACCGCTTGAACACAACAAAAATACCCAGCGAGAAAAGAAACAGCCAATTAGTTAAAACAGTGAAACACCGCAGGAGATTTGAATTCCAGATGAGATCCATTACCAGCGCATCCTCCAAATTAGGCATTGTTTCACTGAGCCATTATCAAGCTAAAGTTTACAAACATTTGGTATGAAAGGTTATAAATCGTAACCACAAATTTCTCATCATATACTCTGGCAATAATTCAGTGACAAAAGCTTCGTATGAAGCGTCCATATGAAGTAAAAAAATTTAACTTCTTATATCTAATCATGTACTGTGATAAAACGTACCATGACAAAACATGCAACAGTGAATTACTTCCAAATACAATTTATTCATTTTTTAAATCTTATTTGTCATAGATGTCAGTACAAAAATAAAGGCTGCATACTTTTAATGAATTTAATTTCATAGGTAATGGTATCACAGCATACTGAGGGTAATGATCCATTCTGAAATCGGCTAGGCTATTTTAGTTGACTGGTCATTCCTATTGACCAAAACAATGGATAACCCGTTCCTCAGCTTTATGACACCTATTTGACGTCACAGAGCAGGGCCACACCACGGAGAATCCAGTGTTCCGGTGGTACCACGGTCCTCAGGTCAACTGCAGCAATGTAGTTCAGATCTGTCCTTAGGGGTTTCTTGTAAATAGGACACGAGTAGAGACGGGAATCTTTCAGACCTGGACGGAAATCAATAAAAGAAAATATTACAGTAAAAAATATAAATTGTATCTATTTTAGTGGAACACTATACTAGCTTGGCAAATGTTTGTACCACAACAAAATGAAACTTTGGAACATTTCAGGTTCTTGGATAACGTGATTTTTGCAGTTTTACTGCGTGAAGAGCTTGAGGACAAAATGAATAATAAAACATTTATGGAAGCAAGGCAAATAAAAGCACAGTACTGACAGCATTCATCCAGGAAGATTATTTTTGTTCCGGTCATTCAGTGTATGAGATGACAAAGTGAAATGCAATCACAAAGGACGAGAAAGGCGCTGGGAAACAGACCATTATTTTCCGCAAACATCCTGATGACGGGCATCATCTCGAACAGCACTTTAGGCTTGGAGTCCACCAGTTTGCAGTTCCTGCGGTCCCATCCGGCACCCTCGAGATACAGGCCATACACATAAACGCCCTCAGCGGGCGGCTGGCTGATGTCATCTTTCATCCACTTTGTGACCTCGTTGCACAAGACCATGCGGTCCAGGGCCCAGCCTTTGTTTGCGCGGGTAATTTCCTGTGTGAAGGATGAAAGCACAAGAATGACGTGAAGCACCGTTTTTTTTTTCCCCCAATTGGCTTTACTACACAAACACATACAACACAGATTCAGTGTAGTTCCATTGAAATTTCAAAGACGTGTCATGCACTCCTTCCCAGATGGGTGTTTGGGGACCTTTAAGTTTATAGTCACTTGTCAAGGTCAGCTGCCTTTTACGAGCTTTTTTCTTCAAGCTTCTAGCTGATAAAGGATTGAATGCCAATTCATTGTGGAGCTTCACTAATTCCTTATCAGCTGTCATAAGCACTTTAATTATATACAGTGATAGACCAACATGAATGTCAATTTTCTTTGACACAACATTGTAGCAACAAAAAAAAACAATAATTATGGAAACAGAGTACACCCGTGTATTATCCAGTCACCACACCTGTCTCATGGCTGTCAAAAATCCCTGTGGGTTAAAGAAACCCGTCATCCAGAAGCAGTTCGGGCGTCCTTCAAAAATCCAGGCCTGGAACTGACGGTTTCGCTCCAGCAGCTCAGTAAACCAGAACCCCAGAGTGCTGGAAGCCCAGGACGCCTGAGATGTAACGCGAGAGCAGATGGGACCAGTTACTTCAACCGAGGCGGAGAACGTACCCGTAACCCACATGTTTTTCCACCAGCATGTACCTCAAGAGAAAATCAGTCTACTAAAACGTTGTCACAGGTGTTCAGACTGAATGCCGTGCAAATCAAATCATTCAGAGTCACTTAAAATAGCTTCTGCTGGAAGAAAGACAGCCCAGGGAACTATGAGCCTCAAAATGTCATGATGAGCTAATTACATCTGCATGCAAATTTGCATTTTCGAGACAGACCTCAATAGACCGCTATTCCACTGGACTTGCGACATATTCAGCTAAATTATACTTCATTTTAAAATAATATTTATAATTGTGCATAAAAATAACCATCATTAACAGAGCACCTCACAAACCCTTAGAAAGTAATGAGAGTGGGTTTGAAAGACGACATCTAGAACGTGCCTTTTTCCAGCGTGCGGGGATGCGGGCGTCGTACATGCAGTCCAGGGCGTCCCGGAGGTTCTCACTCATGATGATGGTTCCATCGATGGCCAGCTTCAAGTCTGTCAGGGTGTTCCTCACCAGCTGCATGACCCTCTGCATGCGGTCAATTTCCTGCCTCAAGAAGATGTTCATGGGCTGAAAAGGCCCCATCTTCTGCAACCTCTCCCTTACCTGGGGAGGACATGCACCAAGGGTCAAGGATTATTATATGTCATTTTGCAAGTGGGTTACATGAGCATGACAAAATTTAGCAACAGCTTCTGTGACATAAGGAAGTTACATAAATTCATACGTAGCAGTGTTTCCGAATCCGGTCCTCAGCGCCCCACAGAAAATCCACGGTCCTGCTCTCTCCCAGCTCCCAGTAGGAGGTAGGGAGTTGAGGAGGAGGAAAAATGAGAACTGTCTGTCAGGGAGCTGGGAGGGAGCAAAAACGTGGACTGTCTGTAGGTTCCTGTGGACCGGGTTGGGAAACACTGAAATATAGTCAGGGATGCACATACAGTAACTGGTACAGTACGCAAGTTCACGTTTAAGTTCACCTTTAAAAGCGATATGTGCGGCAATCAATTGCTGTAAAAGCACAAATGCGCACTTATTTTATGTGCATTTACGCTGCCGTGACAAGAAATTACACTGCATTTTAACCTTTACCTGCTAATTCGTACTTCATTTGCAGTATAAAGATTAAAATGCACTGTAAATTCTTGTCATGGCAGCTCAAATGCACATAAAATACGTTCACAATTGCGCTATTACAACAGATAATTTCCATACGTAACGCTTTTAAGGGTGAATGCGTACCAGTTATCTGCATCCCTATATAAAGTACAGTTCAGTACATAGTGGAGAACATTTCTGCACGTCTTGTCGGTGTGGTCCCTCACCTCAAATGGAACATAGTCTGGTGGAAGCTTCTCCAGCATGTCATCCGCCAGACGCCCCACCACTGCCTCTCGGGTTTCCCCGCCCCCACTGGAGCAGTCTTTGGGCTGGATGCTAAGAATGGTGTCCAGTACATCTTTAGCTAGCTTGCTCTGGTAAGTGATATCAGCATTGGAGTGCAGCCCAAACACCTCTGGAGTGTCATAAGCAGCGAGGCCCTGAAATGTCACACTTACATGTTTAGAGAACATCACAGCTGTAGCTTGGCCAGTAAAATAACACATATACACTTAAACAATAATTCACAGTATTAAGAGGTATTACCTGCTATTGAGATCTGATGCACAGTATCAAGCCTTTGGCTGTTATAACATAATTCAATTTTGATTTCAAAGGGGCACAGAACAGATTTTTTTTGCTGCAGATCCATTTGAGAGCAGAGTATTTTGTCAGCCCTTATTTAGAGGACTAAATGGAGTTATTGAGAGAAATATCTTGTGTGTTTGTTTCAGGATGTAAATGTAAGTCTACTGTTTCAGAAAAATGGACATATTGCTGGTAACAGAGAAAAAGCAGCTGGATAATACAAGTAATTTGAATGAAGATACTGGCGTAAGTGCGAGAACCTTTATTTTCATTGATATAAAAAAGATTATACAAGGATCATTGTAGTGAATACATATTATGGATGACAGCTATTGGGCCATAAATATTTTTCTTTAAATATCCAGCTCCTGACACTATACTCTAAGGGAGAGAGTATGCTTGTAATCATCATTTCAGTAAAATCAGCTACGCGTTCTTTGATAAGCACCTTGGTGTATAATGTGATTACTTATTAAATGCAACAAGTAATTTCAAAGGAATGCAAGGTGTATTGAAACTATGAAAATCCCACAATCAAACACAGGGCTACATAAAACCAAATAAAAGCAAAAAAAATAGCCATACAGGTGCAATGGACCAGAAATCACAGTAATTAATACAATAAGCAAAACTGACTGCATTTTCGAAAGACAAGAATCACAATAAGCCTGTGTATTAATGGTAAATCATTCAGTGGAAAGGAATTAGGGTTTGGTGGAGGTAATGGGAGGGTATATCCTACCTGGATGTACTGGAGGTACTGGTCGACATTGCTGCACTTGGGAATAGCGTAGCCCTTGTAGAAAACAAAGTCTGCTCCAAACATATTCTCGTTGAACCAGACCTTGGCGAAGGTGTTCAGCAGACGCTTGTCATAGTCGTCCGTGACTCTCCCACCGTACTGAATCTCGCCAATCATGTAGCGCACCGTAGTCCAAGACACCCCCTGAAACGATGACCCAGATCGTCAGAAGACAGCATATCAGACCAGTAAAGCAACAGGAACATGGAGAGAAGATACAAACACCACACGTGGAAGACACTCTGAGACATCTACTACACTGTTACTCTAAATAGCACTCCTGGGAAGGAATACGGATACTGTATCTTACTTTCTTCACATCCATGTCATCCAGATGATTCTGCACAAATTGTACGGTGGCATTGAGGTCTGCCTGATTGAACTCGTAAGGAATGTTCCAGCCCAGAGGACCAAACTTTCGTCTCTCTTGAACGGTGGAATGCAGGAATGCCACCCCATAGAGCATGGGTCTCCATTGGATCAGGTTACTGACGTCTAGGAGATCTTGGCTGATGCCTGGCCAATGAGAGGTCACATGTTACGTCATTGCAAAGTATATCAATTCATGATCTCAAACTTGTAAGTCCTGAAGCTCTTCATGGGCTGCTCCAATCATATCCAAGTTGCCCAACGAACAGCACAGCAGACAAACCTCCGTAGGTTCTCCTCAGTCCCGCCTTGAGTCCCTGGGGTGGCTCGTTGGTAAACTTGATTGACATCTGCAGCAGGGTAATAGGGAATTGTTTGTGGACCTCGGTGGTCATCCACAGGCGGAAGGACTCATGCACCATCTCAGACTCTGTCACCATGTCCATCAGCTCATCCATGAAGCCCAGGCCGAGGTGACAGTTTTGTAGGAGGGCCCAGCCTCCCTGTTGACCCCAAAAACAATCAATCAGAGAAATAAATAGAGTATAAGTAAATGGTATAACTCTGTAATTCAACTGTGTTTCAACCAAGTTGTTTTACATGAATTAATTAACACCTAGTAATTCTTCTCAATGCAGAAGCATGAGAGCCAAAGTCATCATGGAGTTCTTACATTCGCCATGGTTTGCTGAAGGAGCTTGCGAGCGTGAACTTCTTGACCTTGACCCATCGATACATAGCGTGTCTCGATCTTCTGCTTCTTACCAAGGGCGATGATGGAGTCAGTGGGATCAGAGCCCATGGACAGAAAGCAGATTAAAGGGGTACGGTGGTCTGATTCCTCCCACGTCTTCTCCAGGTCTAGGACCACACTCTCTGCATACCTCTCACCCATCGAATCCATGACGTATTTTCGAGCCTTAATAGAATCAATAAGAAATTTGCCATGAGACGCAAAGAAGCTGCTGTTTCAGAATAAGATTCTCCTTGTCCTCTTTATATCGATGATTGCTACATTCTGTATCAAAAATAAATTATATACGATTATGTATGGTGCCACCATGAAAAGAAATCAAGTATGTGACCGTTCTGATGATTATATGACACAAACAAGCTTAAGGTATTTCAAGCAGGACACATAAAGAAAACAGCATCCCTAGATACCTGAGCAATGGTCCTGTCTGGGCACCAAGAGCGGATGAGGAGTAGGCGTCGGAAGCAATCCAGGACCTGGTCATACGCATTAGGGATGATCTCCTCCTCTGGGGCATCTTTGTCAAACCAGCTCTTCCACTGTTTCTCATTTCGTCCAATCTATGCGGAGGTGTCAGACTCAAAGGTCAACCAGATCTCAATAAACTCATTAGCTTCATTTGGAGGGTTTATCCTAAGTGGTGGTGTTTCCCAGCGCTCAAACCTCACATTTTCATGTTGACAAACACTCGCTACATTAAATATTAAATAAACTAGGTGCAGGAAGATGCTGATGCACTAGCAGACCTACGATCTTCTAGTAACTAGCTAATGTTAACATTTTATACAACTTGAAGCAATCATATCCCAGTGGAGCCACAAAAAGGAAGAAAGTCAAAGACTGGAAGTCTGTAACAGAAAAGCGGACTGTCTGAAACACCTGATGTGGATTCTGCAAACTTCACAGAGACATGGTGCAGGGACGGGCAAAAAAAAAATTTCAGTGAGGCCCAAGAAGCAAAAAAACCCCGCCTTGATTGTACTCCAGAGTGTGAAAGAAAAGCTAACACATTAACAATCAAAGTCTGTTTGAGTCCATCTCATTTGCTTGTACAGAAAGCATAGAGCTAATGTTTTCATATAAGCTACAGACTAATTCCTTCAGTTATAAATAATTGATGAACCAGTTCCAAACTAAGGCTATTTAACGGTGAGCTGGGCAGACGGCTCCCACGGAGCCTGTCACTCACTCACCGGTGGGCATAATGCGAGATGCATCGAACACTGACATGTTTACACAGAAGACGGGCATATGAGACCGAACCGAAGAGTGTGTGATTTTTCACGGTGCAGCTTTCCAGCTGGGATTCTGGAGGTTGCCGCTGGGGGGAACGCACCTGACTGAGGATGTCAGAGAACTGCCAGAGCTTGCTGAGCTCAACCAAGTTCAGCCACGTCATGTCTAGAATCCACTTAGCTGGTTTAGGAGGACAAGCCTTAAGATCCAGGGAGGCGCCACCTACAGGAAAAAACAGGAAATGTGACCTGTTGTTATGGATTCCCTAATGTATATTAGTTTCCTACTCATATCAATCTAAAGTAGAAGGAATATATAAATCGTTTGTTTGTGGAATGTGAATCGCCTCACTACAGCTGCTTATTTTCTGAAGCAATATTTCTCTCGTCTTGAACGATAGGAAAAGAATTCTGAAACGTCTGGGGTAATGAGTGGTAGACCTCCCCGTCATCAATGAAATTTTCAGTGGAACAGTGGTTCATAAACCCTTTTTACTGACAGCTGTGAACATATAAGAAATTGGACGTCTCCATAAATTCCTGGAGGAAAGAGATATAAGGTGCAGTCACACTAGTGGGAAAAAATATCTGCGTCTCATTCACTTCATTATAGTCGTGCGATGTGAGAATCAGATTCCTCACTTCCAGTTGCTCAGCCAATCAGGAACGGTGTGGGCGGGGCTGACTTTTCAAGTTCACCGGCCATTGGCCACCGAGCAGCCAACTCTTTTTAACTGTCGATTGCCAGAATATGAATTTGTAAACAGGACAAAAGCTGAACGAGTGGCAAAGAGCATTCAAACGGGTCTTGAAGGTAGGAAGCTTATTACGGTGCATTTTCCTGATTAGCATCACTGCACCAAAACTGGGTGATTCTCAGTATGCGTACTTGACCGTACTTGTGTTCTCTTGTTCCCATTTTACATAACCTTCCCTAGTCGAAGACCAGTTCCAATGCTAAGAACAAAAGTACAGAGGACAGTAAAAATCCCCGGATGTCATTCTTGCCCCGCCTCAAATATCAGGTATACATTGGTTGCAGTACCCGACAAATCAATCCCATGATTCACTGTACCCCAAATTCATTAATGGTATTGACAAATACTTCCTGTCTTGATACAAAACGTCACATCCTGGACCACGGCAACTTTTGTTCGAAGCTGTAAAGACGATGCGATTTTTTTCCGTGCTAGTGTGACCGCACCTTTAGAGTTCAACTCAAGGATGATACTGAGGCTGAGTGAGAGTAGGGTTTGGAAGACGTGTGAGTATTGGGCTGAGAGTAACATGAATGTGTGCCGGTGTTTCATGGGTGAAGCTATGCCATAAAACGTTCAGCTCAAACTTCCCCCTTTCAAGTTCCCCTGTCACTCAGAAATCAGTCAAACGGGACTGAAGCCTTGGCAGAGCAGAAGAAATAGCACTCTGAAACAGCTTAGAGCGTTTCATCAATCCTCATTACACCAGCCAGCTAGGCAGCATGTAGACTCACCTTGTGGCAAATTGCTTCTCTCAGGAGAGACCCTGTGTCATTGTCTTTGCACTTCAATAATCTCAGACATAATCTCAGAATGAACACTGACGTAGGTGTTTTCACCGTGCTTTAAAAACAATCCCTAAAGTTTCAGCTCTCAATGCTGAAATTCATTCTGAAATGTCTCTTTTCATCCACGCATGCTATTTATTATGAAGACATGGATTTCACTTTGTACCGGCAATGAATAGCAGACATTATATCATGGAAAATAAACCATAATGTTTACTGGTGTGAAGTAATTTTCCTCTGCATACATCAACTCTAAGCAACCAGAAACCAAACCACTTTTTCTGCTGCACAGTGCTTCTGAAAGGAAGGAAAAAAACGATGTGAGGACTCGGTGAGCAGATTGCTACCCTGACCTTTAATTAGAGTGAGGAATTCCTCGTGCTTCACGCGGTTACTCTGCATGTCAATCTTGAGGGCCAGCAGAAGCGTGAACAGGAACTTGTGCTGCTCGTAGAGCCCGCGGGCGGCGTACTTGTGTACCTCGAAGGTCATGTGATCTATAATGTTAGCGATCCTCTTGCTGGTGATTGGGCTTTTCGACGACCTGTTCGACATAAAACACTGCAGCATGAGGGCCTTCACGTTCTTTTAACGCGTCGTTCGTATTTTGGGCTGACTGCCACAGGTATTTACCGGAAGAGATAACAAGTCCAAAACATTTGCTAACATAGATAAATAACATTAACAGCTTGTTGCAGAGCTAAAACAAATATTTCACCGGTTTATCACCTAGTGTCCAAATGGTAAATCCCACATATTTTCACAAATTGCCGAAGAATTTTGGGCCTAACAAGTACATATCAGCTAAATATGTACCTGGCAAGAAGGAGCTGAATTATAACGCAACGCAGATTTACCTGGCCAGAGACAAGTCAAAGAGTCCCAGGAACTGGCGTAAGGATGTTTGGTACATCACGTTCACCATGCTCATCTCTGTAATGAGGAAGTATAGGATGCTGCCTCTCGTAGCAACTGCATGAAACAGAAACCAAAGGCATGCTCAGATCCTTCCAGTCCCAGAAGGCTTCACACAGGTTAAGATCTTGGAATACTCTCACCAAGGTACTTTTCCAGAAATGTAAACAGCACCGTACATTTTATGCTGATGTCTCTGGCACGGAAGACTTAGTACTTAATACTGAATGCCATCTTCCTACACAAGAACGAGAGCCTCCCATTCGCGAGTGAAATGTCCCTGAACACGGTCGGCTAGATAACATGTCCTCTCCTTTTCAGAAAAGCATTTGGAGTAGGTTATTATTTGCCAGATATTTTCAATCTTTTTCAGGTGAGGCTCTGTATACTTAGCACTTGACTTTATGAAGAAATTACTTAATATCCTGCCAAAACAAGAGCTATAAGCTAAAAATACTGTAAACCTGTAAATAACCTTAAACAATTGACAGGTATTTATATGCTAAATTAATTTCAGATTTGGAACACTATACCAGATGCTTGCAATAAAGGGATTTAGAAAAATCGAGAATTTCTGAAACGGCTGAAGCAGGAGATTTCTGGGCGTAATTCCTATGTTTGAGGGGTAGGGGGCAGTCCCCGCTGCAATCACCTGGCCTGTACTCCTCGCGGGCGGCGTTGATCTGGACCTCAGTCTCGGCGGCGACCTGCAGCTTCTGCGTGACCTCCTCAGCAGTGCGCTTGGTGCCGCTCAGCACGGTGATGAGACTCTCGTCCTCCACCAGGGAGCCCTGCGTGCTCGTCAGCCTGAACAGCAGGTTGTCTTCAAGCTCCTTCATCCTGCGCTTGTTGGCCGTGACGTCCTCCAGAAGGTCTGTCCGTTCCTTCTCCAGCTCCTGTTACAAAGCAAGGATGCGGATTCACCTTTGACCTTTAAACATATTTGATGTACTGTACTCTCCATGTGCTTTTAGATATTTATTAGATGTTAAATATACAGCAAAGAGATCCAGAAACAGGGGCCTGGTCACTAATGTGTCATTAATACATGTCCTGGACCAAGATAATCAGGCTTCTCCAATTTAACACTTCACACTTAAATATAAATTCCAAGTGTTGACTGGCCATTGCCAAATTTGCTGTGCATGATTCTCCAAGATGTGCCGTTAGTATCTAAAGAACATACTTCAAATATGTAACACCCAAGGCACAAGTTAAAAAGATAAAGATCTTGAAAGCCATAGGTGGCTCCTATGTTGCATCACAATGGAATAAATGTCTTGAAATGTGTTTGAAGAGCAATAAAGATATGAACAGGAAGTGGCCGTGTTTCCACTACAGGCTGTGGAGGACAGAGTCTCAAGCTGCCACCTACGGACAATATGGGCTCTGGGAGATTTTTTATTACATCTGGTCCGTGGGTCAATATTTTGTTTTACACTTTGTAATTAAATAATCTACATAGACTTGGTTTACATATAAATTAGCGGGATATATTACATTGTTTCTCATTTCTGTTTTGACTCATGAAAAATGGGAGAACCCCAATAGCCAGCCTCCCCCCCCCAGGTAACCTGGCAGACTTTAACCATCAGTCAGAGGCTCACCATTATCTCACCATTTAAAAACTTTAAACATCGGCACTGAGGTCTGGCTTTTCACTATTGTTGGACTGAGAAAAGGCCATTCAGACAAAATCAGGGATCGTTCCCACAAAATCACCACTGGTAGCTTCGAGCCTTTCATGTGATCTTCTTTCAATCAGCAAGATTAATCTTGGTTGGAGGTCAGTCTAGTATCTGTGATTATAATCATCAAAGACCTTTAGTGGGTCTGTATGGAAGCAAAAGCTGTTTCCAGGACTGGAAAATGGCTCATTTATTATTTGCTGATAGCTACCAAAACCTGTACCCACACAAAGGCGTTTCCTTTACAAGTAATGTTACTGTTTTTTACCTTTAGTATTATCATGACTTGTAACATCATGACAGGCAATTCATTAGTGGAGCATTTACAAAAATCAAAGTTTTTCTCATTTGCTTAGATAAATTTCATGAGACATACTTCCTGTGTTTCTGGATTGCATTTGCAAACCAACAAGTGTAATCCCCACACCATGATGTCACTTCTGCACAGCAGACGTCATTTCTCGTTTCACACAAATTTCCAAATGCTTTAGTACATGTATGCAACTGGTCTTGCACAATTGTTGACATCCGGTGCAATTTTCAGTTGCTTTAGTCTTGTACAGTTGGTCAAAATACAGTAGATCATGTATTTTTGAATTGTAATAATTTTGCGCCTAAAACTATATATGTATGTGATCATTGTGGTTTGTATACATGACACTCGGTGACACGGGGACGAGAAACGCTGATCGGTGCAGAAATGGGGACATTTTCCACAGAGCCTGACAGGTGGCACATGTGGTGGAGAGGTGGAGGTAATGGTGCATGATGGTGCACTGACATCCAGTGGGAATAAGCACTGGTTTTCCTTCCAGCTCCAACACTCACACATCCACAGAGACATGTTGTTTCTCTCCAGCCCAAAAAAAAAAACACAGATCGCAGCCAAGAATCAGGGCCTATCTGGAGCAATGGAGGGTCCCTGACATGGGGTCCTGTTGCTGAGTCAGACAGTTTACAGGAGGAAACTGCCCGTTCATGGTTTGTTCGATTTATGTTGGCTGCTTGTGACCATTTTGTTGCCTATGCAGATGGATAGACTTACTGGAGCAGTATAGGTCAGCCAGAAAAGCCAAAGCAGGGATGGATGGATGGATGGATGGATGGATAGATAGATAGATAGATAGATAGATAGATAGATAGATAGATAGATAGATAGATAGATAGCACAAAATTCTGTAGTAAATAAACAGAATTGTACAGTGTGTAATACAGTGGACACATATCCAGTACACCATGATGTTTTAACATGCAGTGCCTGTCTTTGGTGACACCTCAGGTTTTATGAGAAGATGCAGTTCCCATTTCTGTGCATGATGGAAACCAGCACTGGTGTAGCTATAATCTGCTGTCAGTCGGAAGCTCACTATTGTTTGGTCTGATTATTTTTTTCCCATGTATGGGAACAGGCAGGAAGTGACAGTGAATAGTGCAGCTTTGGTGGATTAGTGGTATGGCTCTTGCTTATAGTGTTAGAGATGCTTCATTCAGATCCTGGTTGAGCCCATGAGCAATTGACTAGTAGTAGATCTCTTCCTGAGGTTTAAGTCTAGCTCTCTCCAGCACAGCTGACTGAAGATTCTGGGCTCATAGATGAGGGGCTATACTGCTTTAATTTGTGGCCACGAAAGAATGGCCATAATCAGAAGGTTGCAAGTTCAAATCCCCTGTGGCTGTACAAAACATTTCACTGTTGGGTCCTTGAGAAAGGCATTTAATCCCCAATTGCTCCAGGCACTGGAAATGTACGTCGCTTTGGATAAAGCTGTCTGCAAAGTAAAGTGTAGGTTTCGTAGCTTTGTTCCCTGTTCCCTCACCTGCTTTTCAGTCAAGATGACTCGGCCCAAAAGCTGGTCCTCCAGACCTCTCATGGTGACGGTGAAGTCGATGATGGAGGCACGGGCGCTGATCTCCGGCGTGTAGGCGGGGTTGGGGAGCTTGGTCGTTATATAAAGGCGAAATCCACGCATCACATCCACCTCTTTGTCTCCCACCTTCACCTGGTGCCAAGACAGACACACGACAATAGGAAGCTGACCCCTAAAGCCAGGGGACTGTAACCACTGCAATGTGGGGACTTTAAACTCGCCATGTGAACAAGCATTTATTGCACTTCAGAGCTAAATCTCCTTTTAGCGGTGTATATCCTGAAGTAATGATATGTAAAAATTAACAAAATGTACAAAGTGTTTTGTAACGTTTTATGCAGGAAACTCGTGATGAAACATCAAACTGGATAAACTGAAAAGCACCAATGGACACTGAAATGTAAACAACATGGAAATTATGTTGTGCTGCTGTATCATTTTCACTTAGATGCACTTTTTAAAGTAAAATAAATGACCAGTTATTTCTAGTAATGAAGATACTTTTTCATGGTGTTTTTTTTCTCTTTTTGCCGTGTGGCACAGCAGCTATCGCTGTTGACAAGCTATCGGCAAACTCCCAGGGAACTCGTGCCTGACAAAGACATCTTCTAATTTACTGCCCTGTTAGCTGATGCTTTCTCGACCGATGCTATAAAAGACACACATATTTAACCTGTCTTAGTGAATCTTTCATATAATATTCCAGTAAAACGAACAGTAAAATCATCCGTGATGATCAATCAAATTACACTCTATGCTCACCCAGGAAAACAAACACTCAAAGTCTAAGAATGATTTTACCTGCTAAAAATAGTGCCACATAAAATCCCTTTTATGCAAATAAAGCTGAGTATGGTAACGGAACAGTGAGGACTTTCACATAGTCACTTTATATCAATTTTGGAAGAGTGATACAGTACTATGGCTGACTTGTCTACACATTTACCAAAAATGACCTCAAACACGCATGTCTAAATTTAGCTTAGATAACATATATACTGCACACACTAATGTGTAACTGTCAGCAGAGATGTCTGCACAGCAGCAAATGGCAGAGGACAATTTAGAGAGTTCAATCGCGGAGAACCGCAAAAAATACCAATACTGGCTATAGTGCTACAATAATCACACATACTAATGTGTTAGGAAATTTTATCGAGACTAAATATAGCTCAGCTTCAAGTCAACTGGTCATACAGATATGATCTGAAAGCAGCGACCGGGAAATGGAGAGCAGGAAATGGAAGTGGTGGGTGTCTGTTGCTAAGTGGTTTGATGAGGTTCTTACTCCCTTCAGGTTAGGAATTCAGGTTTCCTCTAAATCAGGGGTGGGCAATCTTATCTGCCAAAGGCAGGTGTGTATGCGGGTTTTTGGGATAACCTGCAGGTCAGCTGTTCAAAACCAGGTGTGAGGACTCTTCAGCCAATCAGTCCTCTAATTAGTAATCTAATTAAGGAGTTGCGGCGAAAACCTGCACGCACAGTGGCCCTTTCTGGATAGGATTGCCCACCCTGCCCTAAATAGAACCTCAAAGAAAGGTTTAGGTCTGACTAGCGTAGCATTGGGTCAAACGTGCCTGGATTAAAGAAAGTGGAAGCAATTGTGTCATTGACACTCTGGGGCTCAGAGGTCTAAGTCCATGGAAAGGCACTGGGCAGCAGGGAATTCACCAGTAAGATACAGGGGATGATTAGGAGGCCAGATGTGATAGGGCCACAGTGGGCAGTTTTAGCCTGGGCATCGGGGCACCACCCCAACTCTGTCAAAGGATGCACAGGGATCTTTTATGACCTCAGAGAGTCAGGACCTCAGTTTATGTGTCTCATGTGAAGGACGTTGCCACTTTTACAGCACAGCATCCCCGTCACTGTACTGGGGCATTGGGATCCACAGAGACCACAGGGTGGGCTCACCTGTTGGCCACACAAAGACCTGTTCTAGCAACAACCCAGCATTCCTAGTTGGTTTCCCACTCAAGTACTGGCCAGGCCCAAACCTGCTTAGTTTCAGATGGATTACCTAGTCTGGACTGCAGGTAGTATGGCTGGTGGACAAGTTTCTCTATTGTTACTATTTATAAAAGTAATATTTAGTAAAATTTTTACTAAAACAACTGCCCACAGTAAAAATAATTGCACATTTATGGTTTCCTGGGGGGGGGGGGGGGCTGTAGATCTTCACAATTTATCTGAGTTTATTTACTAACTTTGATTGTGATTCAGTTTTTTTTTTTTATTGCTTAGTTTTCTAATCAAAATCTAACTTGCGTCTGACTGCCCTTCAAATGTGACCTCGCTACAGTACATGCAGCCCATTACTGGTGCTTCAGCAAGCAGCCTTCCGATACCCTACTTTGTACGTCGAGCCCGTCTTGATGAAGTTTTTCTCGAGAACGTGGTCCAATGCCGGGTCCAGCTCCTCCCCGACATCCTCGATGAGTAGAGGGCGTCCCAGAGACAGACTGTCTTCCAGATGGTTCCTGAAGTACTTGTGATTCAGGGAGGTGACCTGGAACAGTGGAAACTTATTGCTATGTATTCGGCTTAAGAGTCCTCACGGCAATGAGATTCAAGGTAGGCAGGCTGTGGCTCAAACTAGATAATCCACTTTCAGCTCTCTGTCTACATTTCATTACTCACTTATTAACAAGTAGATTAGAGGTTGCATCTGTTATTTCCATAACTTTTTGCCAGCAGTTCAGACAAATAGTACAAGGCTCATGTTTTACTGATCAGGCCGAATCACTGCATGCACCCTGAAAGAAGGGTGCAAAATTCAGCTTTTCAAGTTTCAAGTTTCAAGTACAATAAAACCTTGGATTGCGAGTAACTTGGTCTACGAGTGTTTTGCTATACGAGCACAGATTTTTAATTAATTTTAACTTGTTAAACGAGCGAGGTCTTGCCATATGTGTATTACATATACACTTTGTCTGCCTAGCATCACGTAATCAACTGAGCCGATTCTTCTTCTCTCTCTCTCTCTGCGGGATTGTGGGTAATCGTCTCCCATGCTCGGTCTCAGTCGGCGTCCCTCACTCGTATAGTTAAAATTTAGTAGAAAAGCACCACCCGAATAAGGCCGTAGCAGTACGAGCGATGAATCTGTTTAATCACAATGCAATGTCCACATTTCCACGAAATCGAAAAGGAGGCGAAAGCAGCTGTCATTGGATAGGTTCCTTGTTAAAGTCGCACAAAAAGAAAAAGATTCCAGTGAGCCAACAGATAGCAGTGATTCCGTTAGTTACAGTGAAAGTCATGTTACAAAATAACCCTCCTCTTCTCCTCTCTCCCTCACACCCTCCACGATTCTTTTCAAAGGTAAAGTGCAGGTTAATTTGTTTTATGTATTTTTACTTTATATTTTGTATTAATCATTTTTACATGAATATATTTCGGTTGTGGAACGAATCATCTGAGTTTCCATTTTTTCTTATGGGAAAATTTGCTTTGATATACGAGTGTTTTGGATTACAAGCACTATTCCGGAACGAATTATGCTCGCAAACCAAGGTACGACTGTACTTGTACACTTTGTACAGTGTAAGTTCGCCATCTACACAAACACACATGGTGCATGTGTGTTTTTCCACCTGCTTCATGAACTGTTTGAAAGGGAAATGCGTTATACAAAGAAAAATAACATAAAAGATAGATAATAAGAAATGTTTAAAACAACAATAAAAATAACTACAAAAGTGAAGTAAACAAAAGTAAAATAAGACAATAAAAAGCAATATCAGTAACTGTAGACGAAGTGTAGAGTTTTCAATAGCCAACAAAAGGCAGTGTGTTGCCAGAACGACCATCCCTCCCAATACAGCCGCAGTGAATCGAGAAGCCGTAGAACGGTGGTAACAGAAAAGCCTGAGCTGTGAACTTCACCTGCAGCTCATTCTTGGCCTCCTTGTTCTTGATCCAGGTCTTGCCCTGAGTCTGAGGATCCAGCAGCAGCGGGAAACGTGTGGCCTTGGTGACGATGATGCCGTTCTGGATGGAGAGGTCGTCGTTGGGCAGCCCCTGCAGGTTCCATTCGCTCACCGTAGGAGCATCGATCAGCATGTCGGTCAGGTTCAGGTTGTTCCCGAACGGGATCTGCCTCGTCCTCATCTCCCTCTGCCAGTCTGTCAGCAGAAGGTTCCGGAACTCCTGGTTGAAAGGGCCGGAGTACGACAGGAACGCTGTAGCCAGCAAGACGTCCCCTGCACCATAAAATAGCCACAATTAAAAAAGAAGAAGAAATTAAGTCTTCAAACTATGGTCCATTTTGCTTTGATCTATGTACCAGTAAATGAAGCACATCTCTAATTTATCTTTGTTAATTTCAACCTAAAATAAGAGCACATCCCTTATAGTTAAATCAGCATAGTCCACAGACAGTTTTACAGTCTAGAAATAAAGTCTGAAAGCATTTGTTTACCCATGTTAAAACTGTGCAGGGACTATTTGAATTACATTTAGCAGAATATCAATGAGAAACTATATTATTACAATGCAACACTAAACAATGCAAAAAACAAATGAATGCGGCTGACATTAAGCAGGGTGATCATGATAAAATACAACTACATGTCATGAGTGGAGAGGACCTGGCCAAGGGACAGAAATTGCACAACGCTTCCCCTAATTATTACAATTTCACAATTTCAGGAACTCCCAAGCGTCAAGCAGGGGCCGATTTGTTGTTTCAAACCCCCCAAAAATAAAAAAAGTCTCTTCGGGGCCCCTCTCACCCCCTCAGATGTTTCAAAACCTACATAAGCAGTGAGTCATAAATGGGGAGTCAGAAGATCTACTGTATAAAGAATAACAAAAACAGGTTGCACTTTGCTTTAATTAATTGAACGTCACAGCACAAACGCGTTTTGGCTTGATGCCTTTCGCAGTGTGTTCAGTCAGGGGATCATAGCTACAGTAGCTGGTTAGCAGCACATGCTACTTCAGCATGTCCTAAATAAGGAACGCCTTTATTTTAAAATTTAGTGTAGTGACCTCGGGGGCTCCTGACCCCCCTCAGATATTTTAAAAATGAAATTAATAGCTAACGAGTACAGTCAGAAGATTGTAGCTAGCTAGCTAGTTAGCAGAACATGCTGCTTCAGCATCTCCTAAATATGGAATGCCTTTATTTAATATTTAGCATAGTGCCCTGGGGCAGACAAATGTGTGTTTTGAGTGCTGGTAAACACCATCTGTGGCTCGGGGGGGCCGGCCGTGGGACACACCGACGAGGCGCTTGCTGTGAGCGGCGAACTCCTTGCTCTGCTCGGTCCAGCGCTGCTTCTCACCGGCCAGGCCACTGATCAGGCTTGACGCCGTCTGCATCTTGTGCCTGCATCGCTCAGCATCCTCCCGGAGGGCCTGGTCATTACACATGGGGGGTGGGAGATAGTAAGCTGGCAGGAAACGTCAGGGCATCTCCAGGACAAGGAAGGTATGATAACACCTTACTTAAGGCCATGTCTTTAGTAATTTATAAACACATTCATAATGCATTATAATGCATTCATACAGCATTATAAACATGACTATAAATATCCATCAAAAGGCGTAACACATTATAGCGTAACATTTGTACTGCATTATAAAGGTATCTATATTCGTTTAGAAATTTTTGCAAATACCTTTTTATAAAGCCATGTTTATAATTTTTTATAAGTGCATTATAATTTGTTATTCATGAACGAGTTTATAAAATACTAAAAACATGGCCTTAAGTAAGGTGTTACTGACATTTTTAGTTTATTAGAAAAATAAATACAAAATAATGACAACAATTACAATAGCATGAACCAAAACACACAGGTAAATAACACTAACAGTGGCAAAGCATTCCAGCTAACAATCTTCCACCATGACCCAAAATGCGGGTCATGACTCGGAGGTGTGAATGATCATGTGACAAGGGATGATGGAGAGGCATTGAATTCAGACATTTGTGCCTTTTAATTTTATTACTAAGAATTATGCTTGTTAAGGTCATGAAAGACTTTCTAATTTAATGTTCCTAGTGTCGTAAGCCAATATTAAAATTATCACCCACTCCCTGACAATTCAACCCTCAGAAAAATTAATAATCAGACGTCTTAGTTCCCTAAGACTGAACTAACAGCAGAGAATTATGAACTAATTAATGATATTTACACAACTGCCTGCTCTATATTGTTGGACGCATCTGCGTCAGGGATTCTGACTCTGATTTGTAAATGACACACTCACTGTTCTTCAGAGGTGTTTGTCAAAACTCCCTGAAAAATGGCAGAAGCATTTTAAAATTAGAATTACCATAGCTAAAAAGAAAAAAAAACATTATGTACTACTAGCTTACCTATTTGTTAACTGTTAGGCTCTACCTGTCTTTATCAAAAGCAAGTTTGAACAAGAAAACCTGCAAAATCTGCGAGCCATTTCTTTTGCTATGTATCATCTGGTGGTTGCCAGGTTTAGCGAGTGAAAAAGCAGCACTGCGTGGCTGAGGGTCCCCGGAAACAGCAGGCAGCCACCTGTTTCTCCATCACGGCCTTCTCGTATTCTCCCTGGACCACGTCCAGCTCAGCCTGCTTCTCGTCCAGCTCCGCCTGGGCCTTCTGTAAGTCGGCGTTGGCGATGGCAAGACGATTCTCCTGCACTGCCAGATTAGCCTGCAAATCGACGTGGTTGTAGGAGAGGAAAAGAAAGGCCACAAAGATTAACCTTCCTAATTGAATTAATAAGCACATCGTCAAACAGAGGACATACAGACTGGAACGTGTGCATGATGAGCAGATAATTCGCCCCAGGATATGGTTAATGTAACATTTTGATCCCTTAATGTAATTTGCGTTAATTGTTCCTTCAGCCTAGAAGCAGAGCTAAGATTTTTAGAGTGATCTTGACACTCATATTTAAAAGAGGGACATGCACTGGCAGATTTAGTTATGGCAGACATTAGACCCCCAGGGTGGCATCTTGCTGAGAGTGGCACAGGGCACCCGCATAAAGAAAGAAAAGGAGTTTGCACGATCGGGTTTCCTACACTCGTTTGCACGTCGTGTCATGTCGTGATTTCATATGACCATATGGGTCAATAAGGCTTGTTTGAGTAGGTGCCCCGATTCTAGCTTGTGACCTAGGCTGGTGACCACTCAGAAGAACGTTATGGGGATGGGGGGCAGGGCTGGGTTAACCTCATGTCGACCCACTGGACGCCCGAGGTAGGGGAACCGGGGGAATCTATCAAATAGCGCACCAGTAAGTTAGTACAGTACTAATGCAATCAGTAAAATCGGTTTTAACGGGTGCCCAGAGCATACAGTACCTTCAAAGGGAGCACCTCCTTATTGATGGCAAAGAAGGAGGCCATGGCTTTGGTCCAGGAGCAGAGGCCAGCCACGTTTCCGCAGACCCGCTTGGCCGTCTCGATGTTGTAGTCGCTCATTTCAAAGTAGGGCACCAGCAGTTCCACTACCTCCTCATTAATGGTGTCTTTGGGAAATTGCTGGGGGGGTTCAGATGCAGGAGAGCCCGTCACCATGGATCGGACGCAGGCCGCGGAAGAGGAGCGCGTCGCGGAGAATCCCTCTCCCTGCACGACTGCCACTTTCTGCCATGTTTCATGCATTTTTTATTTCTAGCCTGTGCTCAATCCCCTTAGAGAACTGAAAAGGCCCGTAGGTCTTAGAGGCGAGAGCATAACACATTCTGGGCGATAAATGAAACATCGATCAGCGACACTGTGATATTCAACGAAAACGGCATTCGCCACAGCACAAAATATTAACAAGGATTCCTTATTAACGTTCTTTAATTAGTTACACTGATTTTTTTTGCTGTATTTTTTTTTTTATTATTTTTACTCACTATTTTCCATCATCTTGCTGGAGATACCTTCACTATTTTCGATATCACTAAAAAAGATTGTGATGATGTCATCGACCTGATGGATTCTCCTTTACAGGATAATGGGGGAGACCCTGGGGCCTGTCCCAGGCAACACCAGGGGGTGCACTCCGGATTGGATGCCAATCTATCGTAGGACACACCAGGACACTCGCACACCGTGGATGATTTAGCGTCATGAATTAGCCTAAGTGCAATTCATCGGCCTGCATGGGGTAACTGCAGGAAACCCAAGCAAACTCTACTGAAATGTATCAGCTTGAAAGAGGATTCAGTGTTTACATCTGGTTCGTGTTTCGCAGACCTCGTTACCTGCAGGCTTCCCAGGAAGTTACCGGCCGTCATGAGTTTAAGGGACTCCTGCCAGGACGGGACGGGGCAGTTCTTCTCAGGGTCCAGCTTCGTGGCGTTGAGCCGGCGCTGGAAGAGCAGCAGCACGCAGTCCATGATGCGCATGATGAGGTGAGGCGGGCGCCCCAGGGTGCGAACCGTGGCGATGTCCGACGGCTTGATCGTCTGGCGGGGCGACACAGAGACGGAAAGGAGAGAGAGTCAGAAAAGCGAGTGAGAGAACGCCTTCGTGCTTTTCAACATTTCCCCCGCTATGTTCTTCTAAATGGACAATATTTAAGAAAATGTACATTCTTATAAATAATAAATATTTCACAGAAGAGATTGCTTTCAAAGCAATAGCTGACTAGTGCCATTATTTATGGAGGCAGAGACAGGCCTTGACATCTTCATCTCACATTACTATCGCATTTCCTGCGTCTATCCGACTCGTACATGTCAAAGGTTCATGACCTGCATTACGATAACAAGCCACCCAGAAAAAAAGCATGATGTCACCCAGCTTCTTTGTCATTGGCTGAAGCGTTGCTAGGAGCCTCCGTTGCAAATTAGAAGCTGGTAGCAGGGTTAGAAGAGGACCTCACAGAGGCCACATTTATAAAGCGGATTTATGGCTGCAGAGTGTGAAACCTCAGCGGTCATGGCTGTGTGAGACCTCCTGCCATCACCAAGTTCTATTTTTAAACCCTCCAAGGCAGCACGTAATTACACAGGAGCTACAAGCTTCAGTTAGTCACAGAAACATTACATGCCCACTACACTACCTCTAATTCAGCATCACAGGCACCAGGAAAAACCGGAGCGGCACCTAAAAACTCAAAAACAAAGCTGGCAAAAAGGAGGAAATATAATTGGAGGAGGCAGAAACGCATTTCCCTGTCCAACTGTGAGCGACAAAGCAGAGAAGCCGCAATAGAAAGTTCCCGGAAGCTTCCCGCGTCCCATACCTGCAGCGCGGCTTCCGCCTCCTCCAGCGCCGGCCTGGCGGCCTCAAGCTTCTCCTCCGCGATGGCCTTGTCAGCTGAGATGCTGTCCACGATGACCTGGGCTTTGTCCTTCACCTTCTGGACCTCCAGCTTCACCTTCTCCGCAGCCTGTGCCTTCACAGTCACCTCTTTCAAGACCTTAGAATGAAGCCAATAAAAAAAAAATCAGACAGAGCACATTCAGACGCTCATTGTCTTCAGTCGTTTCGGATTCTTGAGCTTTTGTTTTTTCGCAGCATTCATTCATAAATTTCAGAATTAATTTAAAAACCTCTAATGGGTGGTTCGTTAGAAGCTGTTGGGCAGGAGTAGCTGCTGCCTTGTGTCAGACGATCTCATCTACATTTCTTAGCAGATGAAAGGAAAAATGCCTTTACCTTCTCAGATGACTAATACCATTGGTTCATCAACAAGCCAACATAATAAAAATAAAAACTTGAACTCAGATGGTTGCCATTGTTTTATTACAGATCCACCATGAATGTAGCATGAGCGTTTTGGTGCTAAGCCTTCATCAGTGCATGTTAGCGGCGTTAACAGATACAAACCATGTCAGCCTTTTCATTGGCGACCTGAAGCTCCTTCTCCTTAACCTCCAGCTCCTTGCTCAAGACGGCTACTGACTCTGAGGCCTCTTTTAGCTTCTGGAGACCAGTGTTCATCCTGTCATGAAATTAAATTCCGTTAATATGTTTTCCACAAAGTATTATAAAAGGTCCACAAACAGAACCAATATCAATTAGATCAACTGTGAAATAGTGGCCTGTACTACGAAGCGGGGTTACTGGCTTAACAGGGTAACTTGTCGGATTTAAGGTAGTCTGGGCAAAATGTAAGTGAACGAATATGAAGTCCATTTAAACTGTGGTACCTTAAATCCGGTTTGTAGTACAGGCCACAGGTGACAACAACTCCCATTGAAATAGCATAAGAACTAATTAAGAGATAGAGACTATCAAGTTCTAGCTTATCGAGTTTTATCTCATCACATAAATAGACGGTTTGATGTTGACCTGTTGGCGAGGGTCTGCAGTTCTGAATGCTTCTCCTTGTAGATGGTTTTATAACCCTGTATGAAGGACAGGTAGGACTTGGGCGTGACGTGGGTCGACCGGCGGTATCTCCGGAAGTAGTCGGCACACTTCTCCGCCACGCCATCTTGGAAGGACCCCATGCAGTGCACGACCTCGGCCTTGACTCCCGGCGAGCAGTCGATGTCGTAGGAGGACAGGAAGTGCTCTGACACTGTGGCAAAATGCGGCATTAGGAATCATCCGGTGTCTTTTACATAAGGCATCATTATATTTAACTTTGAGAAGAATCTACATAACATCTACTCCAGGTAGGATGGTGCACAGAGCCGGGAGTTACGGAGGTGGAAGGAACTTGTAATTATCTGGGAGCATTTGGAAATAAGGAACAGGTGCAGTGAATGAATATGAAGCTTGGTACCCATTTCAATGTTATCAAAACCATTTCTGTGTAAATGTGTGTGGGGAGGAGAGGCTGTCCCAGCAAGGGGGGGCAAGGTGTTGAGGGTTGATAAAAGAGGTTGATCTTTCATCCCCTCAAAACCTGAATGACCCACCCTAAGAGTTAGCGCCCTCTCTCCCATCCAAGGTTAACATTTCCACATTTGCCAAAACAGCTTCTCTATTTCTTGTGTGTAGTTTCTTGTGTCTTGTCCCCTGTCCAACCCCATCGAAAATGATCCTGAAATGAAAAGCCCAATAAATCGATACGTTCTGACCCATCCCCTGTGATTAGCGTCTGATCACTGTAAGAAAGGATGTCTCATGATTTTCTCTTTGATTTTGACTTATATTGTGTGATAGTGTCATAATAATTCCAGAAAGGCCTGTTTTACAGTCGGGGTAGTTAAGACCAGAAAAACTAGGAAAATGCACCTGCAATCAAAGCATCTTTAGGCCAACGGCTGAACCAATCCATGGTGCAGGCAGATATGAGGGCCGGGAACTTCAAAGCTCGGGTTCGGAACTTCTCCCCCACTGGGGAAAAACACAGAACCACGTGGAGGTTCTGCCGGACGCGGCTCATGAAGTACTCGTAGAGGTTCTCGTTGGTGGGCGGTCGCCGCGGTGATTCTTTTTTCATGATGGGTATGAGGTCACTGATGATCTCGTCCATCTCATCTCGGGCAAAGAGGTTAGACACCTGGATGGTGATGGCATGGAAAACAGAAGCGCGGATCATTCCGGCATGGAGGAAGAGAGAGTAATTAGTTCTTGGGAGCACTTTGTCAACCTGGTCTTAGATGTTAAGATTCTCAGAATAGCAACATAAATTAGGTAAATTATGCAATTAGGATTTAAGCAGAGGGAAATGATGACACTGCCTCTTGCAGTAATTGCTGGAGTCCCGCTGTGTGACGAAGTGCTCTACCTGACACTGTAAAAATAGCGGCAAGCTCATTACGGCTGCATTTAGCGAATCTCAGATGGTGTACGGCGGAACATCTGCGGCGGGCCCTGCACCACCCCGGAACCCCAGTGCATTAAAGGACTACAGAAAGGCACCGTGACAGCAAATTACACCTCAGCCAAGCCCAGTGGAAGAGTGTGAGATGATCAGGGCGAGCGTACGGCTGAAAGTACGGCTTCCCTCCTTCACCGCTCACAGGCAAATTAAGGAAGCCGACCTTGTCCATCATCTCGCTTCCTTTTGCTTGTCTCCTTTCTACCTGAACTCTCTCAATGACACTGGGGACATGCAGCTACGTCCAGATGTCATCCTTTCAGTGTCTGTTTCAATTTAAGTGTAATTTTCTTTGCCTTTATTGCACCTGCTACTTTCGGTTTTATTACTTACAACCATCAGATACTGAAACATATTTTCTGCACATTATCTATGGATATTTATGATTATTGTTTAATGGTTTGTCCCCCATTTTATTGTCTTGGAGTCAGGCAACCAAGCATTTCACTGCACACTGTACTGACTGAGTTCTGACCATCTCCACAAAGCCTAACGGTTTCATTGGGGTCAGTGCTCTGACCAGTGGAGTCACAGTTTGTGACTGGAGAAGTAGTTTCTGGAAAGAAGTTTCAGGCTTGTGCGGGTGTCTCGAGTTTGGTCAAGGATTCAAGGGTTTTATTTTTCGCGTGCAAGGTATACAGTCAGGCCGTAACCTGCAGTGACACGGAAGGTGGTCAACACTGCCTTATGAACAGTGACAGCGGAAAGACATTTAAAATAGCCATATGATAATAAATAGACATAAAAAATACTGAAAGTTATCCTAATAGCTAAAAAAATAAAAATGCACTGTAGAGTAAATAAGGCCTGAGATGTGCAACACAGTTCTAATAAAGTGCGATGGGCATAAATCAGATATAAATTAAAGTGTCAATCAGGTATGAAGCATGCTGATGGCTTGAGGGCAGAAGCTCCTTCTGAGCCTCTCAGGTCTCACTGACATCAGAAGCGCTTACCAGGCCTAAATGTATCATTTAGGCCCCTTCAAATAATACAAAATGCAAAGTCAGGCTGGATACACTACAAGTCGCTGGCAAAACCAAGACCGAAGAACGACTGGGAATCAGCTGTGAAAATTTGCAGTGGAACACACCGGCATGAGTAGAGGTGAAGGTTGACATACAGCCCAATCAGGGAGCTGTTTCAAAACCAAACACCAGCCATAAATGGGGCCAATAAGGACCAACTATTTCCAAATGCACATTACACTTTGCCATATTCCATATATCAGCCATTTTTCATCTATTTTATATTTCTTTATTTTTATACTTCATATTGATTCTCTCAGCCCATTTTTCTCTTTGTTTCATATTTATTCCATTAATACATATCTGCGCAGTTATATATCAACTTTGATATGGCAACTTTGATTTGAGTGCCTATGATTTTTGTGTGGTTCAATCGGTGTTACTAGAGCTACTCTCTTCAGAGTTCAGCAAGGATGGCTGTCTGAACACAGAAACTGCTCTGCGCCACCAGGGGGCGTCATTCCAGGCCTTTCCTGTAACCTTGCCCAGTACAGCAGAGAAGCGAAATTAGACATCTGCCCTGATATATGTGCATCACAAGCAGAGACTGAGGCAGAGTAACGTTTTTTTTACCGAATCCGTATTTCTAAAGTCATTTGTTAAGCTGCTGCCTGAAAGCTTCCACTTAATTTTTTATAATCGAGAAAAATGACAGGAAGCAGACATTTTGGAGGATTTATTCTGTAAAGCTTCAGAAACGCAGGTCGGCGCATGCCGCACATTTTAAAATGATGGAAAAGGACCTTTAAAAATAGCCCATCGTTTCTTGTCTCTTAGACGTAAGCATGTGTTCACAGGTGTGTTATAAGCGAGTCCACACACAGGAAGTCTCAAAAGCAGATTTTGCAAAACGAGTTGTTGGAACTACCCTTAAACTCATACTTTTGGGTCATGTGCATTGGAACGTGTGGAAAATTGGACCCCATGAAAGCTTAGGGGCCCTTGGAATCGTCCTAACTGCCCCCCACAGTGCCCCTTGGGGGTGTAAGCATGGCTCCCTCTATGTGGAGTTTGCACGCTCTCCTGATGTCCTGTAGGCACCTGCGAGTCCTCTGGTTCCCTCCCGAGGTCAGACTAAGTGGCATCATCACCAAATGGTTCACCTTGCTCATAGTGTATGCATGTGTGTGTAAGTGTGAAGGGTGTTTGTGCACCAGGATGTACTGACATCCCATCCAGGAAGTACCTCTGCCTTCCACCCTGTGCTTCCAAGAATAGCCCTCCTGCCCCACCCCCCACCAAGGACCCTGCCCAGGACGTGCACTTAGACCAGTGTTTTTCAACCCAGTGCTCAAGGACCGCCTGTTAGGAGGGCTGTCTGGGAGGGGGGAGAAACGCGGACTGTCTGAGGGTCCCCAAGGACCGAAATGAGAAACACTGGCTTAAACAATGGATCGGGGAGAGCAGTACTGACCTCTCCAGACGATAAAACGTTATTCATGTACTCCAGGAAGGACTCATCCTTGATTTCATTATCAGTGAAGATGAAGCTAATCCCCTTGCCCAGCTGACCTGCTGTCCTGTAGAGCCCCTTCAAATCCTCCATCAGGTTGGAGGTGTTGTAGGACCTGGGGGAGCAGAGGTGGGCACAGAGCAGGTGGGCCGGAATTGAGAAGGGGGCGTGCGGGAGCCTCGCACGGCCTCGTGAGGTCACACTCGCCGTGGGCATTTTCAAAAGCCCAGTGCTTTGCCACAGAGGGCATCTCCGCCACAGTGAAAGCGAGAAAAAGTAAAGGCATTGAAGAGGATCCACATAATCAAAGAAGTATCATAGGGGTCAAGTCAGGAGACAAGTAACTGGAGTACCATAGTCCATAGCGTACGCCACAGCATTTGCTAGCAGCAGATGAACGGCTGTCTATGTAGATTTCAGTTTGAAATGTGCAGTGCTGTCTCTCCTATCACTAGCCACATGCTGAAGGCAAAAGACTCTCTGAAATACTATGGTTTAAATGTGTTTCAGGTTATGTATTTTGAAAATGGAAAAAATCCTGCTGAGTTGCACAAATATACCACCTACTGGAACTAAATGACAATGTCCGTCGTCTAGTTTTGACAAAGATTCATTTCATATCAAAACAGCACTACATATCTTATTGGCTGACATTTTCTGGCTAAATAAGAGGTCACAAATATTAATTGTGCATAATTAAAATGGATGCTTCAAAAGTATTTACACTGTAAATGAATGGTAAGTCGATATTAACAGTTAACCACAGTGCAATCATTCTGGCCACCAACGTAACAGATATGCAATCACTGGAAAGCTCAGCTTGCGTTATTACAGCATGTGATAAAACCAGTTTGCACACTTGATATATTTCGCACCCAAACCCTTAACAAATATGAACCCAAAATGTTGCTCTTTCAATCATATCTGGGTAGTTGTGGTTAGGCGAGCTGACATACCTGGTTAAAGTGATCTGGAAGGTTTTATACCCAGCAATAAACGATGCCAACCTCGTCAGGCTCTGCTTCCCAGAACCCCCCACTCCGACCAGCAGGGCGTTTCCTCTGGGAGTCCGGATGATTCTGGAAACCTACCCAGAGAACAAAGATTCCTTATCACATATTATCTTAATTTAACGAAAGTCTACCGGCGCTTTGTAGGTTTCTGGTGACCAGACTTTGCTTAGGTGTAACTGTTAGTTGAAATGCTTAAAGCTTTCAGCATTCTTTAGTCCTACAAGTTCTTCTTCCCCTACCTTCACCAGGTGAACCATTGCATCCCTGAAAAAGACCATGTCCATTCCAGCTCCTCGTATGCTCTCATTGTAGATGGCGAGGAACATGTTCAGGCGATCCTTCAGGCTAGGGAACGACTCCATGGGCTCGTAGACTTTGGGCATGTCGAAATCTGTGTCCTCGGGCTCCTCGCCTGTCCGTCAAAGTCATGTAATTAGACATGGGTTGGAAGATCCATCCATCCATTTAAGTTCAGTTCATCCGCTAAATTTGTGCCCTGAACGGTAGGAGGAAGCCAGGCACCTAGAGGCACCCAGTGAAGGACATGAAAACTGCACAACCCTCGGAGAATAGTGCCGCAAGCATAATTTAAGTTTATGTACAGTATATCCCATTAAATTGTTGCTACCTATAGTGATAAAATGTGTCATTTATAATCAGTAAGATAAAAAGAAGGAAGAGTTGACTTAATGTGTTTGTACACTACAGTTCGGGACAGGTTTGTACTTCCCCAGTCAAAAAGTCACCTCAGGCCATCCATCCCCCTTAGTGTAGTGACTGTTTGTGGCCAACAGGGGTCCCCACACCGCACAGGCCCCATGTAAATGCATGATGTGAGTGGAGGTGAATACCGTTACTGACTGTGGTGTTAGGAACTCTCTGCACTTCATCAAATCCCCATACCTGTAGCTTCAGGCGCATCCCTCAGGAAGTCGACAAAGTAGGAATCTACTCCAAAATCGACGAAAGCCCGGTCCTCCTCTCCCAGCTCCTCCTCGACCAGCTGAGCCAGCACCTGGTCGAACCACTCCACGTCCTCAGATACCGTGAAGCGGTCTGCGATGACCCTCTTGCACTCGTGCTTCCACAGTTGTAACACAACCTGTTTTGAGATGAAGAGGTTCTACACTGTCTGCATGTGCGTGGACATCATTACACAGCCGTTACACAAGGGATTCATAAGGGGCCCTTAAAGAAATAGGAGTGCTCACTGTGCGAGAGCGGACCACCTCCGCCGTGGCATTCAGCATGCCCTGCCAAATGCGGGACAGGTCACGCAGGTTGAAGATGTAGTGAAACTTGGCCGGAGTGGGCAGCATCTTGACCTTGGTGGCCTGCCAGAGGCGCCGGGTCAGCGGCATGAGGGCAGCCACACAGAGCCGCACGTCCTCCGCGAAGCCGCGCTGGGGGCAGAAGTGTCCCAAGCCGATCACACCTGCCAAAGCAGGAAGGCAATTACCGTCACGCCGCAGATAAAGTGCGGAGGCGAAGGGAGCATTAAGGGAAGCGAGTCGATGCCGATCAGCCAGGCTGCACAGAGCACAAGGGTTTGGTGAAACATCAGATGAGTCCGACTTCATAAGAAAAAAAACGATATTCCACGAAAAGAGGGTTAACTTTAACAGGCGCTGTAACTAACATGAAAGCCTAATACGGCAATATGTTACCTGTCATATCAAACACCAAACATATGAGGTCTGTGCTGAAAAGCAGATTTAATTAACCTGCACATGGCTGGACGGCAAGAGAGTAAGACAGTCACACGTGTTCAGGAAAAATGTCTGGTAATAAGATCACAGAGATAACAAGCAATCATCTGGGCCTCCAACTGACCAAATATCTTATCGATGGAGGCGTTTGAGGGCAGGGTGCAGTTGAATATGGAAAACTGCCGCTTGAGTCTCTGGGGGATGTCGTTACGGCCCCCCCCCGGGTGGATCATGGCCGCCAGGAACTGAATGTCCACGATGCTGGTGAACTCCCCAGGCTTTTCCAGGTTGTAGAACCCATTCTGTTCCATCAGCTGCCGCACAATCTCATTCGTTACCTGGACAAGGATTAGTCAATGACATCGAAGTGTCCAATTTTAAAGATAATGGACCAAAGTGCACATAGAGGAAACTATGTGTCCTATCTTCTAGATGTTTTTGAAAGCCATCCAAAAAGCTAGTTTTTATAGCTTTTAGTCCCTATTTCGAAATGCCATGATGAACCTCGAGAGGGCACATTAATTTGTCCTTCCATTTTGGCAGCGGACTAACGTACCTGGTCTCCCCATTCGTTGATGACTGGCATGTTAACATCATCTATAAAGATTGTCATCTTCTTTCCTGCCGGGGGTCCGTACGTCGCTCCCATTCTCTTGTCAACATAACTCTCCACGGTGCGCTAGAATAAGCCAGCTTTGAATTACACGGCATTGGAGAGCAAATTTCCAAAACCCACTCAGTGCATTTTATGTTGTTTTTCAGATGAAACAGCTAATGACTTAAAGTCAGGCTTTCTCATCATATGTTATAGTGCTGGAAACCAAGACTCACTCAATCCTCATGTAATCTACAGTAATAAAGAACTTTCATTTAATTACCACAACACAGTAAATCCATAGACATTTTCTTGAAGATCATGTAGACTGAGTGGGCTTTGGAAATTTGATCTTCAGTTAACTGTACTATTCGAGTACCAAATTACAGTATGTAAAGTAATTATTAAAAAAAAAAAAATCACACATCATGTGACGCAACTACTAATCAGTAATTTTCAGCTGTAAGCCTGTTATTGCATCACATAAAAAGCTGTCAACAAGCATGCTTAGTTTTGTGGCTATGAACTATCAGTAAATATTAGTCAGTAGTCAAACACAGAAATATGTAGTAAAAACAATAATAAACAGAATATGCAAATGGAAGAAACATTCTGAATAATTCAGAGAAAAGCTTCTGAGGTTTCTGAAGATACCTGAAACATGAGAGGGGTTGTGGCGGAGGAGAAGTTGACGCTCTTAGCCGCGTGGCTCTCGGGGTCGTACTTTGACATGAATCCCTTGATGATGACTGTCTTAGCGGTTCCTTGCTCTCCAATCAGCAACACTGCCTGGGGACCCGGTTAAAGAAGGATTACGGTTAAGAAGCTTTGAGAAGTTCCCAAACAGCTTTGAATTATTTAGACCGTGTTATTCTGGCAGTGTTTCGATCCAGTGTCTCTGTAACTGAAACGTAAGTTCCCCTGACTGTTTTGAAGTAGTTCTTTGAGTAAACATACATGCCTTCTGCAAAGAATTTTGCAATTAATTTTAGCCATATCAGTTTAAATCGTTCATTGCTTAGGGTGGTTCCCACCTTGCCCTGCTTGGTGATGGTTTGGATAAGGAAGTCAGTTCTGATGTTGTCCACATTGGGCACTAGAATGGACCCATATTCTGGGGTGTTGTCAGGGGGGTAGATATACTCCTCTACTCGAGTGTCCCAGTGAACCCATTCACCTGGAAACCACATGGAATGGGGTTTTAAATGAATAATAACATGTACAGCACCGTGAATTTGGCATTGTAAGTTACGGTACGCTGAGGAACATAAGGAACACAAGAAAATAAGTTTACACAGTTTTCATTTTTCAAAAAAGAAATATCTTCACTCCTAATATATTAATTCTGTTGGCATAAAGCACTGCTAAATGTGATTTTCACTTTCATCATCTGGAATAGTCGCATTACATGAATATGTCAGGATGCGAAAATTCCCGTTAGGCTTCGGCTCAGAAATGCTGACCGCTCTGGTTAACATAGTAGTCGAACATGTTGTGGTCGCTCTCCGCAGCGATGGCCGGCAGGTCCAGCCGGATGCTTCCGTGGTTCCGGAGCCAGCCCTCCATCTTCCTGCGGTCCTCCAGCTCCAAGGGGGCGCCAACGCTCCACATCAGCGAAAAGACATACAGCCGCTCCATGTGTTCTCGACTCACCTCCCCGCACTGCTCCTAAAATGTAAACCAGCCCTGTGAAGTAACCTGCGATGCCTTCCAGTCAACGCCAAACCACTGCTACCAAAAACAACCCGGCTGGCTTTGTTTGTACAACCCTACCTAACTAACATTGTCAATGTAAGCACAAACAATTTTCATGGACAAAACCCAATATAATCAGGAGAGCACAAAACACTGATTTCCCGAGTATTACTTTAAAACTACAGAGAGCTCCTCTATTAGGAAAATAGCAGCCATTTTAGCAGAGCCAAAAACCTCTCACCATTACTATCCCGGCCTCAAAGATAGTCTGTTTATATTGAATTAGTGATTTAGTTAATGTGGCTGAATTACGCAGCCCACCTGATAGAAGCTAGACGCATAAAGAAAATCACAGGCAACGTGAAGTGGGACAATAACAGCTCCGGCGCATTAGTCCGAGGTCCGTTTGAGCACCATGGAGTGTGGTCAGCGCGTTTGTTACCGCGGAGAATAAATACGCCGGACGTGCCCATCTGTTTAGCTCCGTCCAGTAATTATAAAAACATGCCCCCGCAGTAACATTGCCCCCCTGCTGCTTGACTGCTCATCAGCTACACAGCTCTTTGTGATTCACCAAGGGGCTTTTGTTTTTTTTTTGGGAAAGGTGAAGTACTTTTCATGGTTCTCAAAAAAAAAAAGATTAAAAAAAATCAAAAACAATGGGCCTTTGTGAAAGTATTTATCTACCTGTCAATGGTCCACTCGACGAAGGAAATGAGGACCAATTTAGTCCATGTATTTTCAGGAATACTAGTGAAGTATTGGGTGAGGGACTCAAATGGAGCTTTGAGTAATTAGGGCAGAGCGTTGTGGGCACAGAGCTGTAGAGTCGTACCTTAGGGGGAATGAGGCCCTGCAGCATGTTTATGCTCTGCATGATCACGAAAGCCTCCAGCATCTCTATCTTGTACTCCAAATACTGGATGGTGAAGCGGTACAGCTCGGCAAAGGAGGATGAGTACAGCTCCCTCAGCACCTCTGCCTCCTGGGGGGAACGTTTCTTCAGCCAGCCCTGGGAGGAGCCACAAACAACAGCACCTCGTCACTTAAGGCTATGCCCTTTGTCTCTTTCCTTGCTGTAGAACAGTGTTTCCCAAACCTAGTCCTCGGGGACCCCAGACAGTCCACATTTTTGCTCTCTCCCAGACAGTCCACATTTTTGCTCTCTCCCAGACAGTCCACGTTTTTTCTCCCTCCCAGACAGTCCACGTTTTTGCTCCCTCCCAGACAATCTAGGTTTTTGCTCCCTCCCAGACAGTGCACATTTTTGCTCCCTCCCAGACAGTCCACATTTTTGCTCCCTCTCAGATAGTCCACATTTATACTCCCTCCCAGACAGTCCACATTTTTACTCCCTCCCAGACAGTGCACATTTTTGCTCCCTCCCAGACAGTCCACATTTTTGCTCCCTGTTCTTGGGTTTTTGCAAAAACGTGATCTGAGGGTCCCCAAGGACTGGGTTGGAAAACGCTGCTCTGGAATAAATGCAGTCCAACCTGCTTCTCTGTTTTGCTCTTTGAACGTGACCCACTTTCTTACATTATTCAACAGTTTGTTATCCGCGAAATGAGAATTGGGAGCCAGTTTGGCCCATTCAGGAAAACCCACAGCTAAATTGCCATTCCAGTAAGTACTCCAGGGCGACAGTGTTTAGTATCAACCGGAAGCCCCAAGGAAGGAAATTATTAACTATATAACATAAAAACACTCACAGTACCATGTATTCCAACACATGTGATAATAACAATAAATTCATAGGGTGGCACAAAACTTGTTGACTTGGTTGTGGGGGGGGAGCATCAGTTTGGCCATTTCCATTAGATGCGATCAGAATGTAGCTTGTTTTTGGAAATTAACTAACCCCTCCCCCAAAGCTCCAGCGTTCTGCAGCGCAGCGGAATTCTGGACTGTTAACCCCTATATTATGCAAATTACCTCTAGGATTGGACTCCAGTTCAGCACGGAGGAGCTCATGAACACCATCCCATTACGGGACACCGTAGCGGGGGATGCATTGTCGATGTTATGTGGCTCAAAGACAATCTTGCAGTTGGGAGCCATGGGGATGCGGTCCCCGTTAGCCAGTGTGAGCGTCTTGTTGTCATCCAGGACGGAGTTGAGATTCTCAATCCAGATGGCATCAACTGGCCCGTCCAAGACGATCCAAATGTGCTCGCCTGCAGGAGGTCCACATGGCTTATTTAATAATCATGGTCAGAAACATTTCAGGACATCGATTGGCTGTCATTCCTCTTCTTCGAAATCCAAGAGAAGGGCATCTAAACTGAGACCCTTAGTAGCCATGACAGCCTCTGGAAACAGGATAGGGCAAGTTCCTGGAAAGAGCTCTAAAGAACGATCAAGACAGTGACATTCACTAAAATTGAATAACAAATTAAAAGACAAGATGCAATTCATCGACCCTATGGGAAAATTCTGGAAAACATATTGCACTGGCTGGGAATCGAAAGATTTAAAGTAGAAATATCTTACTCTTGAAAATATCTTTCACTCAAAAATGTATCTATTAAAGTGAAATGTAAAAATTTAGTACTTTACGAACGTATTGTCAACATTTAGAATTTATACTTAATTTACGTTAAGACCATGGATACACAACATGGTATTTCAGACAGGTAAAACTCTGACCTTTCTTGGCCCTTAAGGTTTTTCTCCACAGGGTGGAAAAAATGCCATCGGTCCAGTCGTTGGTGGCAACATCCAGGCGGCCAAACATCTGAGGAGCAGTTATGGCTTTCGGGTTCATCCGCATCTCCCTGTGCGGCTCACCGCAGTCTGCGTGCCCAAACACACGTACAAGCAGAACATGGGATGCCTTCATAGTAGCTGGTTACAACCCCGTATGCGTTTCAATCTTCTGATTCTGTGCCGTTCGTTTGACACCTGGTTACCGTGGTAATGCACACAGTTTTTTAGATACATACCAAATGGGGAATAAAGTCCTGCTGCCCGCATTTCATTATTATTTTGGTCAGTTAGCGAATAAAGTACCACATAATGTGTCTGTGTGACACTGTTTAAACCCGGCCACACTAAATTAGGAGGATAACAAGGGGAGGTTTTGTGTTTATGTCCATGAATATGAAGAGGCACTATGCGGGTGTAATAGGCTGGTAACCTGTCATCGCCTTCATTAAGGTGTGAATGCACGTGGTTTTTCCCGTTCCACTTGGGCCCAGGGCCATCATTCCATGGCGAACTCTTTGCGTCTCAAACAACTGGATGACCTTCAGTTTCCAAGGAGGGTGGCGAATCAGCCCAGCTTCAGCAACCTTCGATGAAAAGAGCAAATCAATTTGCAATTATCAGCCAGTGTTATGTCAGAATATATTCTTACATCGGGTGATGTGTAATTCCTGAGGATCTGTAATTCACATGTTAAAGGAGACCCCCCCCCCCACCTGTTTGTCAATAGCTGTCTCCAGGCTGGGATAGCCTGCTTTGTCTAGCTGAATTCCAGGGAAGAGGTCCTCAATCAAGCTCAAAAACAGAGGCTCATCTTCATCAATCTGTCAGGGACACAGAAAGTATGCACCGACTTAAACATTCACTCTGGAATTCCAAAAGGGGATCTTATTAAATATGCATGATTATAACAGATGCGCCCACTGAAAAATTTTGATTAGCCCATGAAATAAATATCCTGCTAAAACAAACAAGGGGGAAGATTATGAAAATACAATGCGATAAAACTCAATGGCGATACATTCTAACAGCATTTTACTGAAATGATATTAGAATAAATTATATAAACCAAAAATATTCTGTTTACTCACTAGCTTTGACAAGTTCATGTCCCGTAAAACTCTCATGACAATGGTGGATTCTGTGTCAGATGGATTGGCTCGTTTCGCTGCCCCGAGCGTGCGCAGAACTGATAGAATATTTCGGAGTCCGAAGTCGTAGTGCACCTACAAGCGACAGGCGATACAACACAACCCATGAAATGTAACGCACGCTTTATAAGTCTAACCGACAATTTAGCATTTGGCTAAAGTCGGTCACCTGTTTGGAAAGTTGCTCTTCACACAGTTTATAGAGGGTGAAGAATTTTCTGGCCAGTTCGACGTTGTCAATGAAGCCGCAGCTTGCCAGCTTCACGCGAATGATGATTTGACGGTCAGGAACCATCATAGCTACTGAGCGGAAGTTGATCTTCAAATTCTCTGGGAGTTCCTGGCGACCTGCATATCCGGGGTTCTAAAGGTGTCAAAAAAGTTATTATTATTATCCATGCTGCACAACTGAATGCTTTACTGTAAGTATCCGTGTAAATAAAATTAATTTCGAACAATTAGTGACTTATGGCAAAAGCTATGAACCTGCAAAGTCATTAATTGGAGAGAAAGTCCCATATTTTGTGCTCAGGAGCAGTATTTTTTAACTCTACAAAATGTAAATGCTTTATGTTCTTACAAATCAGACAGCTACTTTAAAACCAGAATAAAGAGAATGGCAGTATGTGTTATGAACGACTGCAAAGGCATCACACTTAAAAGGCTTCCTCATAAAAGTATCCAAGGAAGTCTCATTACAACCCTGGAGGGGCTTTGAGTTTGCTGCTCAGGCGGAGAACCCCCCAGGGAGGTGGGGATTTATTCTCCGCGGAAGACGGCAGCAGTGGCCGATGAAACACCGTTATTTATAAAAGTAAAAAAAGGAGCTAGGATGGCTGAAATTTTTACTTAAAAAGTGAGAAAATATAGATTTAACAATATAAATTTTATATAATCAGTGTTCAGTGAATATAATAAGTGTTCAGAGTCACATATTGTGACTCTTCATGCTCAACTGGTTGGTAGAAACAAAATCTTGGTCTGGATTTGTTGCTTATGGACCTGAAATGCCCAACACTGAATATAATAGAAATTTTCCAACAAAAATAGTTTTACTGTATGTGATTTACATGGTATGACAGGATATGATACTTAAGTAAAGAAACCTTTAGCAATTCGACCCAAATGATGTATAAATTTTTTCCCTTGTTCTGAATCTCCATGAAATTACACTGATAGTAATTTCTGAAGACAAACCATCGTGAGGAAGATCCCAAACTCTGGGTTCATCTCCACGCTGTCCCCGTCGGTGAAGATGAACGTCCTCCTGCGCTCCTTCTTGCACGTTAACACGATGGCTATCTGCTGTGCAGCCACTGACAGGACGGGGAGATCTATGCGGTTGAACTCGTCGAAGCAGCCCCAGGAGCCCGACTGAGCGAGACCTGCCCCACACGAGGAAGAAAACTAGCTACCGTCAACACATTAGGCAACATAGGCGGGTGCCCGGGGCACCATGTTCTGAGGGAGCACCGACTTACCAAATTGCCCTCAGAAACAAAGTGAAGCTGAGCAGTGAAGTTTGCCTAAGACTCCACAAGGGCATTAGCCAGTACTGGTTTGAGCTATAACTGCAGAAATGGCTCTTCCGAAATGAAGCACTTTTTTAAGCGCAAAATCCACTCCAAGTTAGAAATCGAAATCTTCACTTGTACCTTTAAATATTCTGCCCAGTCCCCTGAAGTCCATCTGGTCGGAGCAGTTGAAGACCACCACGTACTTCCCCAGGCAGCGGCCCATGTCCTTGGTGGTCTCCGTCTTCCCGGTGCCGGCGGGCCCAGCCGGGGCCCCCCCCATACTCATCCCGAGCGCCTGGGCCAGTGTGATGTAGCACCTGGCAGAAACACAAAGCGGGGGTAACTGCCTACTCACTGCAGCAATAGCTAAATCGACAGAGGTGACATGTGACCACAAATCACTCCAACGCGCCTAACAGTAACTAAAGTGTAACACAGCAATCATAGACTCAACGATACAGATCTCGGACAATAATACTTAATGTTGACGTAATTCAGCAGAACATCAGCCTTGTAGTTATGAATAGCAACATAATTTCAAAAGAAAGAAATGGCTCATCGGTAACCGGCTAAGGTCATCATGAAACAGTCATGCTTCTATTGTACATTCGCACATTTTCCATAAAGGATTTCAATTAACCAAATACTATGTCATATGTCGCACTACAAATGCACTTTGTATCTAACAAGCTTTTTACTTCCATCCCATCTACCCACCTTCCAACCACAAATGTACAGTAGTATAGCATTTCGGAGCCCATTACAAATATATTTGTACATAAAAATCACTAACGGTGAGTTTAATTTTATTATACCATGTTGCAAAAGAAACCTCAGTAACTGTACGCGAGTTCTCTACTCTCACGTATATATATGCCATAATGTTGCAGGCTAAGCTTTTTATTGATCATAAATGTTGCTTATTGATTATACAGTACCAGTCTAAAGTTTGGATACACCTACCTATAGAAAGGTTTATTTGCACTATTCATTTTAGAATAATTATAAAGACATCAAAAGTATAAAATAACATATATGGATTATGCACTGACCAAAAAAGTATTAACCAAAAAAAAATATGTTGAGGGGGGTGGGGCAGCTCTGTGGCTTGGCTTAGGACTCAGAAGGTTGTTAGCTCAAATCCCTTGGTTGGCAGAGTGATGCCACAAGGCCCTTAACCCCAATTGCCCCAGGGACTGACTGACTCTACTGTCTCCTCTATGCCAGTTTCATGAGGTGGCCTCCTGAGATGCTTTTCCAGCTGTCCTGGAGGAGGTCCCACATATATATGCTGAGCACTCATTGGCTGCTTTTCTTTCACTCTCTGGTCTCTGTTTAGGTCAGGTAGCCAGGTCATGTGATGCGACACTCTCCTTTGTAGGTGGCTTGGCAAGTCCAATCCTTTGGCTTGTACGGTATGTAACAAGCTAAGTTGTTTATTCAGTTGCGCAATAATTAAAAAAATCCTTGATGCTTCATCCATATTGAAAGCAGGGCATCTGCTCTTGAGATTAAGCATTTTTACCGGTCGGTCAGCGGGGTGATGACCAGTCGGTCCGTGCAGCCGAGGAACTCGTTCTGGTAGATGAAGCCCACATCTGTGATGTTAATGAGCATCTTGTCAGTGTCTTCGCTGAAGTAGAAGCGACATTGCTTCAGCCATTCGAAGTCGGCTGCGCTCTTTATGTGTAAGCGGCACTGAGGAGACAAGAGAGATTAAGGATGGAGAAATGGTCCAGTGTTCACTTTTACCAGAGGTGAATAGTTCAGGTCCAGAATGTAAAAATTCAAGATTTTGTTTCAATCAACCACTCAACTGGTTGGATGAAACAAAATCTTGTTCTGGATTTTTACTTTCTGGACCCAAACTGTCCACCTTCGACTTTTACTGAAATAACATATTGTAGCACCCACCCTGTTAGACAAACCCAGAAAAGGCTGATTTTTGCCTCCTGAATCGCTTAAAATGTAGACGTAATATGCAATCAGAGATGACTTTCTGCACACTGTTTTACTGAGCTGTTATTTTTGCACTTGTGACCTTCCTGTTAGCTTTAACAAGTCTGGCTGTTCTCCTCTGACCTCTCTCATTAACTTGGTGTTTTGGCACAAGGAAAAGTTACTGGCTGGATGACTTTTGTTCACAGCATTTTGTTCAGCGTTCTCTGTAAATTCTATACACTGTAAAATCCCCGGAAGGTGGCTGTTTTTACACGTTATTTAAAAATCTCTTAACGATAATGATCAGCTGAACAGCACCTGAACCCCCCGTCCCTGTTTGTGATCTGTATGCATTCAGTTGCAGCCATTGTTTGACAGAGTAGGTGAATCTAATAAAACAGTCACTGAGTTCATATACATCTATATATAATTTGCCATATATGGACAGCACATATGTGTATATGCTATGTTTATAAAATATGTGTGTAATATCAATTTCAGCAGTTTTTACTGTAACATCAAGGCTTAAGGAATGCTATATTTTCTCATTGTGTGCTTTCTGTTCATGCCCTGAAGCCTTGTTCTGTATCCGTGTTGCAAATGCATCCCAGCTTACATATTATAAGTTATTTGTTCTGTATTATGCATTTTTATGTTCTTACATCTTATTCTGTTGGCTATCAGCACTTAATGTTTTAAGACGTACCAACAAATATTTCCACCAGCATGAGTCATTACAATAGATATAAAGTTCTATTCTATTCTATTCTATTCTATTCTATTCTGACTAGCTAGAAGGATAACAGGAAGTGATTCAGAATTAAGGGCTCACCAGCTCATCAAATATGTCCCTCTGATGCACGTGGATGGTGATGAGGGTTTCATATTTTGTGCGCTCCACGCTTCCCAGGTCCTTGGTGGTCATGTCTATAAGGGTGTTTAGAAGCTCCAGAAAAAGCTGGTTGGTTTTGGGCATGATTTTACGGTCATACCGTGCGTTTGTTAAGGCTTCCTCCGCATCTCTAGTCCAGATCATTTGAATTCCTAGCAGACCAACCTAAACAAATAAATGTGGGTGATTCTTATGCATTATTATTCATTTTAATTAATATTTCCATCCATCCATCCATCCATCCATCCATCCATCCATACATCTATCCTCCAATCACAATGACACCTGAAAAGGGTCATGGAGATTAATACATTTTTATATTATACATAACATTTAAATTATAAAGCTGCACCACCGAATAATATTACATGTAATCATATGTTATACATATTATGTGAAATGCTTGATTGTCAGCTGTGTTCAGGTCTATTAATCAGGTAAGACTATTGACTGTTTGTCAGACATGCAGACCACTCTGTATATTTGCTGTGTAGACCTCAGCTACCTGAGCAGGAAAGGCGTTCAGGAAGTCAATGAGCTGGAAGCCAGACTCCTGAATGGCCAGTGCAGCCTGGCGAATGACCAGGTGCAGGGACCTCTGGGACTCCTTGAGGAGAGCGTTAAGCCACACCTCCACATTGCCCTCCGCTGTGATTGGCCGGTCAAGTTCCACCGTCTCTCCTTCCCGGGAAGAAATGGCCAGGATCCTATCATATATCTACCAGGAAGACAACATCATTCTTTACACTTAGACACAAGCATTCCTCTCACCATATACTTTTTCTAGAAACATTATAGATTCTCTAAAGGAACTGAGACGTGTCTCAGTCTGGCCTGATTTAACTGTAGCCCAAATAACAATGGTCTCCATTTTTTACCTTGTCATGGAAACGAACTGACTTGATATTGTCAAAGACATTAAGCAAATGAGCTTGGATGGTGTGCGAGTCCGAGGCCTGGCCAAGGATCTCCAGAAGGGCCGGGTCTGACACAAAGAAGAACCGTGGGAAAAGGAGCCTCTTCTTTTCCAGATACCTAAAAGGAACCATCACAAAGCAAGTGCAGATGCACCATAACATAATGACAACGTTTGCTAATAATATGACAAACAGAAACTCAGACTCAGCTATATCTATGCTAATGATATAACCCAACCCAGTACTGGGGAACCCCCAGACGGTCCACATTTTTGCTCCCTCCCAGCTCCCTGCCAGACAGTCAACATTTTTGCTCCCTCTGGGAGTTGGGAGGGAGCAAAAACATGCACTATCTGGGGGGCCCCTGAGGACCGGGACTGAACACTGATATAACCTAAAACAATGACAGAAAGTGGGGCAGATTGATGTACTGGTTAATGAGGCTCACCCAGTGAGAGACTTCTGACACATCTCCAGCTGTTCCAGCAGATGTGGGAGAAGCTGCCCCATGGTCTCATCCCCCACACAGCACTGCACTACGTTGGGCATCTCATGGGCACGGGTCATTATCTTCACCCATGACTTGTCTATGTTGGAAAATCGCTTGGCTTCCTGCAGGTTGGACACCACGTGGACATTTATCTTGTGTGATTGCATCATTAGTTACTGTACAATTCACATTTTTCAGTACTGGAAAGCACCATGTGCAGTTTTATGCATATAGGTGCATTTTTCGACATCTGTCTACATTCGCCTTCTTTCACCAGTGGTCATTTATTTGAACATTACAACATTACAATATAAAAGTAACCTTCACTTCAGTGTAACCAGCAGTTTTGTTAAAATTTGCTCATTTGCGCACTACATCTGGTTGTCTCACCTTCATTTATATATATACAGGCTCATACATCAAACATCTTTATTTCTATTTCAATCTGTATTTTATTTTTGTTCTTTTTATCATTTTTTGTATTTTTCTTGATCACACGCAGAGGTGGATAATTCGAGTCCAGAAAGTGAAAGTCCAGACCAAGATTTTGTTTCAACCAACCAGTTAAGCATAAAGAGTCACAGTCACATTGCACTTAAATTGTTGGTTGAAACAAAATCCTGGTTTGGATTTTTACTTGCTGGACCTGAACTACATATCTCTGATTGCATGCCACTAGCTGCACAACAAACTCCTTGGTCAATAAAACATTTCAGCTTTAACTTTATTTATTTAATCAATGAAATATTTTAAAAACAGGCAATTCTGCCTTACCTTGGGGAGCTGTTTAGCTATGTCCCCACCCACAAATACAGCCTCCAGGTAGATCCAAAGGTTCTGCACTGTCATCCAGTTCTCAATAATGTCAGTGGTATTGGACAGGTTTTGAACCCATTTCTGAATCTGTGTCTTAAATGGAGTGTTGTACCTGGAGCGGTATAGCAGGCATTGCAGAGAGCGTCATTAAAATGATGACAAAGGAGGAGAAACTTTGAAATAAAGGTACAAGACCTGATTTGCTCATCACCTGTTGCTCATAAGGGACCCAAGCATCATCAGGCTGTCCTCCATGTTAGCGATGACCTCAGAGGTGCTATCTCCTCGGAGCAACAGCTCTCCACGTGTCTTAAAGTTCGCAAAGGTAAAGGTCTTGTTGTCCCACTCTGCAATCACCTGCTTCAGCTTTTGTTCAATATCCCGCTCTTTGACTGCACTGATGCAGATATCCTGTCAGGTAAGAACACACCATGACATAACAGGTCTCTCTGAAAATCAGCTCTCAATTTTCTTGTCTCTCTGATAGATATTGGAGATCTTTACCAAAATTGGCTACATTTACCTCAATCTCTTCTTTACATTTCAGAAGTGGTGCTTTCATGATATTCCGTAGCTTGAACGATTCATTCTCCACTTCGAAATTATGCCCTGTCAACTCGGTTATCCTCTTCCAATGACGTGTCATCATGGCTCTGTTGGCCATGAGCTCGAGCAAAGGACAGCATTCGCTGAACTCCTCGATGGTTTTTTTCAAATCCAGGAAGGCCTGCCACTCCTTCAGGGCACGGGGCAGCTTGCGGCATCTGCACGACAGTGAGTAAGCCTTCACTTTTCATCTTTGGTCCTAATGTCTCAGTCTGTTACTTCTCAATTCTCCCCAAACATATTGAATCAATAAATATGTTGGAAAAAAAAAATCAAACTCACAGACAGACACAGATAGATAGATAGATAAATAGATAGATAGATATAGATAGATAGATAGATAGATAGATAGATAGATAGATAGATAGATAGATAGATAGATAGATGATACTTTGTTTAACACAACACAACCACAGACAGTGAAAAACACATTTAGACTGTAAAAAAAACAGTAACAATCAATAATAAACAACAATATACAATGACAGTGTAAAGAATAGCAGAGAAAGTATTACATGGAATTCCATAGCAAATAAATAGAAACAAGTAGTATGTTGTACAGTGAATGAATGGCTGTGTATGTGAAATGTGCCAAAGCATTTCGGATAATAATAGCATAGAGAATTTATGATGCTTCATGACGTCCCAAACAAATTGTCGAGAAGCAGTAAAACCCAGACACGTTGCTCTCCCACGTACCGAGCCTGGAAGTCTAGCAGCTCATTGTTAATCTTCTCGATGTTGACGTCAGCCCACAGTATGTCATGGTAGCTGTTAACGGTGTCGATGACGTTGTTGTAGAGGCTGTAGAGTTTCTGCAGGAGCGTAAGCTGCTTCCTGATGTCCAGGAGCTGAGGATGTTGAGTGAGAGGCAAGCCGAAAAGATCCTCGCCCCCGGTGTACGTGACGTACTTGCGGTACAAGTTGTCAAAGCGGTTCTGCCATAATGTAGAAACATCATATTGGTTTATTAGGCAATAATACTAACAGTAAAATTACCATGAAGACTTCCTTTTCATTCATTTCATTTATGTTTTTATGAAGTCAGAAACGTTGTTCAGGGTTCATAACTTTCAAACTGTTGTCATTTATTCATTTTGATTATTATAATTTACACTCCATTTTAAGGAATTCATATAGAGTCACACACACCTGAAACATGATCAGCCTATCGCTGGCGTCTTGTGGGGCGAGCCCAGCGACCATCGGCCCATCCTGTAAGTTTTGTGGTTAATTGTACTATTTAAAAATAACGTCGTGATATTACATGTCTTAATCTGTTGTACGAATCAGCATAATTAATGAAAACCATGGAGAAGTGATGCCTACCTTGTCATAGTCCTGGTAGAAGTGGGTGCAGTCCTCAATGAATATCTGCATGTTGCTGAGAAGCTCGCCCCTGAACTTAGGCTGCAGGGTGACCAGCTCATTCTGCACTTCTGCGCTACGTGCCAACAGCTTCTCCCAGGTGTATCGCAGCGTGTCTACCTTCTCCGCCTCCTCCTTGGCCACCAGCAGCTCATACTTATGCAGCATGGCATAGGACTCCTAGGAAGTAGAGAGCACCAACTGCACAGGAGCCAAAGCGCCAGCATGTCGTGCAGTGAAGGTGATGATACACGGGGCAACTTTTTGAGTAATGTTGCTGAGCAACTGCCAGCCTGGTGCGAAAAAGGGCAACTCATCTGGACCTGGATGATTGCGTAAAGTTGCCCACTGCCAACAGTTTTTCAAATAGAAATGTATTGCCCAATATCAATGGGAAAGTACCCGAGCAACATTGGCCGGCAACATTGCCCAAAATGTTACACTGTGTATCATCACTCTGAGAGACCTGTAAGTTCATATAATAATAACATCATCACTTTACTATCACTTGTGGGGAAATTTTCTTTTTGCCAGTCCTACTGTACCTTGCTCTCCATGAAAAACATGTAGGGATAATAAAGTAAAGCTTGGCAGCAAAGGGCAGCCATTGGATACTATTTTTAAGGATCTGGACAGATTACTGCTTTTCCAATGGCAGGACTAGCAAATAGTTCAAACGTCTACAGCATTCTTACCTCAATGGGACCGATTTGAAAGTCAACAGTGACCTGATGCTCCCTGATTTCCTTCAGGGACCCCATAGCGATCCTTATATCATCCAAGTCCTTGATCTGTCGGTTCAGTTTCTTGCCAGCTTCTTCCACAAAGGTAAAGATATGTTCCATCTCAGTCCTGTACTTCCGGTTGCAGTGGCGTCCATAATCCACCATCCAGGCCTTAGTCTCTGCAGTAAGGGCCATCTTCAGGTCGGCTAACAAGAGACAACAAACCCAATGGATCATGTCACAAAAATATGCAACAATGGCAGTGTTATTACCATTGAATATGATAAATAGCACTGAGAGATATCAGAGATGCAATATGGAGTCTTCTTACTGAAATTAAACTCTCAAGCTCCCTTCCCTGCCTTGCTACACAGATCTCTGCGGACCCTGTTGTAGATACCTGTGAAGAGAGCCAGGGCTCCGACAGTGATGAATTCACGTTCAGAGTTGATTTCCTGCTCCAGCCCTTTGTAGTACAAGATCTGAGACTCAAACTCTGACAGCAGCGGGTTGCCCTGGCTAAATTTCAGGATGGCGTCTTCGCGGTCCTGCTTCCAAATGCGGTGGTACCGGCCAAAGCGCTCCAAGGCACTCGTCACATCCTGAGGAACAGGCGACGGAGTTTCATGACATTACATCTTAAAGCAGTGTTTCCCAAGCCGATCCTTGGGGTCACGCAGACAGTCCAGAAATCAATCTAACAATTTAGTCTGGCAATCCTCAACATTGATTAACATTGAAAAAGTCTGCTTATTTTCATCGTCGCTTTGTTTATAGGGTTGGATCCCCATGTGTTACCTTCTTGGTGTAGTTGATGGAGGTACTCAGGACAGACACCAGTTTGACAATCTCCTTGTTTTCTGAGACACTCTTGTAGTAGTTCTTGGCTTGAAATGGGGCAGCTTGGTTCACAGAGGCAGAACTCTCTGATGTACTGCCATCTATAGGGGGGAATCCCTTAGGTCAGTTACATGCCTGTCTAACTTTATTCCACGTATAAAGCCTATGGGACATTGCCCAACCCCTATTTCTAAATGGATCACGTCGATGTTTATATTTTGGTACAATCAAGGTGGAATATACAAAAAAACATGCTTAGCTTCATCTGGATTCATCTAGCTCAAAAGAGGAAAGGAAAATTCACTCTTACATTGCAAGTAAAGCTTTATTCCTGCTTATTCACTCATATTTATAATTTAATATTATGCAGTCCATTCTGAGAACACAGCCTCAGTGGTGATGAAAGCCAGAGGTGTGCTGAGCAAACTTTGTAATGATCTTATTTGCAACTCCACCGGGGCCCCAGGCATACTGTAGTGCTACAGTTAGTGTTTGACTTTTGCGACGCACCATAGAAGCTTCTGTGAGCGGCATCTCCATCTTCAGGGTCACTGCCGCTGTCCTGCCTGAGAGCTGCCAGCCGCCTTTCGCTCATCTTCCTCTGTATAAGCGAGGAGAAGTTTGCAAGCGCCAGGAGTGGTATTTTTATTATCGCCGCCATCGTTCGGCCTCATCTGTGTCGTTACGATTCGCTACCCTAACAACACATTCTCTGTTGCTATTTGTGATAGGAAAAACTTGTGAAAGAATTGTGTGAAGGTAAAAAAAACAAGTCTGTCCAAGAAACAAATTGGTTTTTCATTAAATGGCTTATAATGTGCCTTTAAATGCTTAAAATAAACTCCAGTTGGTATTTGGATGTACTTGGCATATACACAATTAAACTATGAATTGTGTAAATAAATGAAAACTAGATGTGTGAATTACATGGGTGAAAGTTTTTCAGTTTGTAATACATCTTCTTGAATCTGTATCTGCTGTAGTCTCTCAGATATTTCTCTTAAATGTCACATTTTAAGAAAATTCCATTTTTAATGTCTATTACCTTAGGCCATGAACACCTTTTTCACGCACAGCACTCACTCATGACACAGTAACACAGGGTCCCTTGCATATCCGCTCCTTACTCCACTGACCATCACCCATGGCAGAGTAACAATAGGCTCCCTTGCATATC